AATACAGTGGAGCACTTCCTGTATTACCACATGCTGACATCACAAGATGGAACGGAATGTTACAGTTTGAAAGAAGAACTGAGCCTAAATGTGCAGGGTTTGTGTGTTAAACATGTGTGAATGAAACAAAACACAGCTCCAGGCCTGTTTAGGATGAGGAAACAACATTAGAACAGAGATCAGAAAATTTAACTCTGGTCATTTCACTGAGTTTTTGTGACAAGAGACATGGCCCAACAAACAGGATCATTTCTCCAGGTAAGAAGGTTTACTCTGCTACTGAAGACACGAGGAGGGCACATCAAGATTAAATAGACCAGCAGATTAGAAATATTCATTAAGAACTAATGTGAATTCTTGAAATTAAATTCATAATTAATAACAACTATTAATTATTGACACCAGTAAACAAATCCTAAAGAATCACCACTGTACAATTGAGAAGTGTTGGGGTGTTAGACAAAGCTTTAGGAACTCAGGATAAAAATTAAGTGGGAATTACAGGTCTAGACAACACGGAGAGGGAGAGCTCACATCAGTCTATATTGAGACTAGATTTTGTCCTCTGGAAAAAACCAATGATGTCATTATTGTTGTATTAGTGTAGCAGTTCAGATTTCAGTCTTGTCTCAAATGTTACTGCTCCTAGACTGGCTTAAAACATGCATTGTGTTTGAATCTGGATTTGAAAACTGAAATATCCATAATTATCTAATTCTCTCATAATGTCCGACTCTAGCGATGATATGAGCAGATTTCCTCTCTGCATTACTCCTGTGTGTGTGTGTGTGTGTGTGTGTGTGTGTGTGTGTGTGTGTGTGTGTGTGCGTGCGTGCGTGCGTGCGTGTGTGGGGAGGACACTTCCACCGTCAGACTGAGGACAGTGCCTCATCTGCACAAACTCACTGTTAATGCGCTGACCTCCGTGTCCTTTTCCTCAGTCTCTTATGGAGCTGAGCCTGTGTTTAAAGATGGGTTCTTTTAATACTCTGTGGTATTAACCTCTAACACATAACATTAGATCACCATGTTACCTTTTACTGTTTCGAAAATGCTATATTTGCTGAAACAGCTGACTTTATTGATCCACAAGAGAAATGACTTGGACACAGAAGCTCAGACATCACATAATCTATTCAGGCTTATGTCACAAACCAGGAAGATGTTTGGAAAGATGCGATGACAACTTCCAGTGTAGTTCCCCAGACTGGGCTCACCGACCGACTGTGATCAAACCTACTGAAGTAAATGTGATGAGTGGTAAAATGAAGATGGCAGACGTATGTGCCGTTTGGAATCATCTGGAATTTGGCCCCTCATCTCTTCTAATAACGTGTCGCTTTTGTCGCATTTGTCAGAGTTGTGTGTTGATGGGGAAATGATGAAAACTGAGGTATGGTTGGAACTGTTGATTAGTCGAACATAACGGAACACTACAATGACCTGGAGATGAAGAAAACTGGGACATTTTCTCATTTCTCATTTTTCCTAGATTTTGTCAAACTTACTACGAACACAGTCCACTGTGAGCTGTAATCGCATCTTTCCAAATGTCTTCCCAGTTTGTGATGTAGGCGTGAATAGAGCCTATTATATTACAATAACACAGAGTAAAAAATATAAAAAAAAGTGGTACTGAACTTCTAAATAAGTGACAGTAAAAAATAGCACTGGTATCAATAAGACATAAAAACAAATATTTTAACAACATTTTGAGCCCCCCCTCCCTTTGCTCACTCCCCCTTCAGAGTACTGTCATAACACTATCAGCATACATCCCACTGTTTCTTTAAACTACAGATCATTGTGTCAGGTTTGTGAAGTTGTAGTGTATTGTTTTGTATCTTGCTCTTGTATATTTATAGAAAACTGTCATGTGGGAGCATAGGACAGAATCACACTGTTAACCATAAACAGGGTTTGAACTGGGAATGTTATGACATGGTAGAAGTTTTTTTATATAATACCCCCTTTTAAAGTTTAATAAGTTTCTTTTGTTAGTTAATTTTTGACATTCTGTTATGAATGATGGAGAAAATCACTTGGCAGTCACTTGACTTGGCACAGAGGCACAGTGTAAATGTTCCTGCAGCAAAACTTGAATTTCCCTCAGGATCAATAAAGTATCTCTCTCTTTTCATGAGGGAACAACGTTTTAACATGGTAGAAAAAAAGCTGATTTAGTATAATACTCCCTCTTTAATCTGTCGTCATGTCCTCTGTGTCTCTCTATGAAAAATGGTTTAGCAGTATTTGACAAAATGATACACAAACACAGCTTTTTAACCAATATTTGATCACAACTTTTCAACATTTATTTATTTGACAGAAATGGACAGTGCAGTTGAACACTGCCACCAAAATAGGACCAATGTCATGTATTTGTAGCTTCTTGCTACAGGCTGATGTGCAGCCCCCATGTCCCTGCTTAGACTTTTAAAGGTCACAGTACAATAGAAAGTTAGTAAAGGAATACACATACATAAAAAGAATTAGCTGTATTACATCTCAAAAGGGCATTATGTAACTTGACTGATAGAGTACGCCACCTGTTTGTCTCCATGGTGATGATATTGCTTTGTCTGAAATGTTCCCCAGTGTGGCATTAAGGTCAAGGTTCCTTGTGTTGTGTGAAGTGTTAAAATCAACTCTCACAGAATCAATTGTAACATTTTCTTTCTTAAACACCAAGTCCAATGAGTTAATCTGTTCTAGAGTTAATGTAACATTTTTGGAAATGTTAATGAAGTAACACTGGACCAGAGTTCCTGTTTAACCCAAAATCAAGAGTTATATTAATGTTTTGAGAGTAAATGAATAACAGTTTGTAGAGTTATCCTGATGTAGCTAAACAACACACAGAGGTGTTTTATTTTTTACACATTATTTTAGTTAATTTAAGATGAAATTATAAACAAAACTGATTCAAACTGGTCTTCTCTTGTGGAAGTTTGAAGTGGTGAGTGGGTGGAGTCAAATTGTCATTAAGGGAAGTTGAATTAACCCTAGGGGAAGTTGAATTAACTTCAACCATATCAACTCTGGCAAATAACCCCAACTTCAACCCCCAATTAACTTTGAAATAGTTAAAATAATTTGAAATGTGAAAAACAGAACTAGTTCATTTTAAACAGTTTAAACAGTACAGTGGTCCAAAGTTCTTCCTCACTTACCTTCTGCATTCAGAGCATCCTAGTTAGTGGTGTGCAAAAATATCAAATTAATGATATATCGTATTGTTTAATGTGATGATACAGTATCAATATTGTGGGCTGCTGTACCAATGTATCGCCAAGAGTATTTTTTGGTATATTTGACTACAGTTTTGTTGTTTGTTCAGAGGATGGAAATTTGTTTATGCGACACATTTGACATTTTCACAGTTTTGAGTAAAATGTTTGTGTTTCAAATGAACTTTGCACAAGAAGTGGTTTAACAAAGACTTTTAGTATTCCAACTATGGTTTAGCCTGTATGTTTTATTGAACCGATTGAATCATTTAATCAATTTGAAATATATCGTACTGAATCGAAAGTGCACTGTATCGAGATATATATCGTATTGTGGCCTATGTATCGAGATATGTATTGTATCGACAACTTCTTAATGATACCAGCCCTAATCCTAATTATTCATCATGATGAATTTATATTTTCAAAGCTTTCAGAAACCAGTACGGAGATTTACCATCACAATAATCCTAACAACAACTAGCAAGACAGCAACAAAACAACAACAGCTCAATTCCTGATTATCTGACCATAAAAAAAGCTTTCTAATTAGATGCAGACAGTGCATTTATTTTAAACTGCTAATACAATATATCTGTACTGGGGTAAGACTCTAATACATGTGAAAAATGTGATAGAAGGCCTTTAAATACCTGACAAAACTATCATATGTTCACTTTAATAAGAGATCCTTTGAATTCCCATGGTTCCCAGTTCGATTGACAGCTCGCAGCCTCCTTCACGGACAGTGATCATGTATTTACTTCACTGGGGGTAAAGTTGATAATGAGCAGAAAGCGGGGGGCTGGTGAGTTTAAAGGTTACACTCATTACAGCGACCTCATGGGCACAGCCATCACCTGTGATCTAACCCACTCCACACAGAAGAGGATCACTGCACATCGGCCGCATCCAAATACTAAAAACATGCCCCTAAAGGCATGGTTTAAACTCCACAGAGGGAAAGGTTAATACCAAACACCATCTCTCTGGTAGAAGAAGTGAAGGATCAAGAAGGGCTGTCAAAACAAAAATCTAAATCAGGTACTAAAAAAGTTCCAATCACAGGACAGAAATGAAGCTTTCCTGAATGTTTTTAGAATCATGTTGAGCTGTATCAGAACAAGTATAAAAGCACATGGACTAGTATACACACATGGACCAACATGAACCTACTGCACCACTGACCATTACATACATATAAGACACATGGAAATAGAAAAGAAAGCACTACGATTTAATGTTGAAAATAACATTCTATTGTCTAAAGAAAGAGTGACAGCACCAGAATCCAGGTGGCTTTGAGGAGACATATTAGGATGTAGCCATGCCCATACAGGCCTGCTTACTGCACATCGGGTGCATCACAGTACTATAAACATGCCTCCTAATAGCCCCCGCACTTCCTCAGATTTAACTCCACCCACAGAGGACAGAGGTCAATTTGAAACACTATCTCGCTCTTCTCTGTGAGTGCTGGAATAAGAAGAGGAGGAATGGAGAGGGCTTTGGAGAGACATGTTGGGATGCAGCATTGCCCTTACAGCTCTGTTCATGCAAACACCAAATATTTTAGTAGTCGCTATTCAGTGATCGATTTTTTTATTAGTCAAACTATTATTTTGACTTTTTTAATACATTATCAACCGAATACATGTTGCCCTGTTAATGGCACATGCTCAGACTGAGAGCTTCTATCTGTTTGTCTATGGTCTGTGTCTGCCTCTGTGTTTCTAGGTAATAACAAAGTCTATGTGTTTGTGTCCACAGTGAACATCGCCAACAGCCAGGAGTGGACCCTGAGCAGAGTCGTCCCAGAGATCCGACTGGTGAGACTGAACACACGTCCTTCATATTTTATTATTATGTATCAGTTCACACAGAATAGAAAACAGAAATCAAAAATCAAATCAAACTCTAAGTAACTACGTCTATACTATTTTTCTGCTCATAAATTATAACAATTTCAAGGACAGACAGCATCATTGCAAGTAGTACACTCCCATCTATAAAATAAAATTAGCAGCACATGGTAAAATGGTCAATGGTCACATTTTTTGGAATAATAATCATTCTTGGCAAATCTATGACACCTCCATGGAGACAAGCAGGCGACAGGCAGCATACACCAGTAAAGTTACAGAGTGCACTTTTAAATATATTGCCTTATTTCTTTTCTTTTCTTTTCTTTACAAACATGCATGTTCAGACTTCAGCCTGCTCAGACACTCATACAGAAGTACAGTGGACTTAATGATAACACTGTACAGAGCAGGAGAGGAGCCAGGACACAACTGAGATCATCCGGGCGCACTGTTTGTGTAGGGCTTTAGTCTCATTAGGTCAAATATTATGGTACTATTCTGTAACTGAAATACATGACCATTCAAAAGTTTGGACACACTTTTTTATTCATGTTTCTTTATTTCCATCATTGTTTCCGCTGGAGATTTTCACAGAAGCATCAAAACTCTGAATGAACACATTGTACATGCAATGTAGTAAATAAAAAATAAACTCAAAAGAACTCCAAACCCTACTTTGAACATTTATTATTCCTTGGCCCTGACGCGGCACACCTGTGAAGTGAAAACCATTTCAGGAGACTTAATCAAGAAGCTCATTGAAAGAAGGCCAAGGGTTTTAATCCCTTTAAAATTTTCGTGAACTGAAATAGATTAGATGAATTAATTTGTAAAAGGACATTGCAGGTTCATAAAACACATGATTAAACAAGAGTTAAAGAGCCAGAATTAGCCAAGGGACTATTTTTCATCTGTAGTCCCCTGGCTCTGATGTTGAATAAAAACATATCTTTTAGTGAAACTGGGTCCAATAACACAGTCAAATATTCAATTAACAGTTAATACTGCTGTCAATTTCATTTTGCTTGGTTATTTTGGGGGTCCCAGAGTGGAAAGATTCTGCCTAATGCTCCGCCCACAAGCCTACATCACCCATGCTCCTGCATGACAAAACATGACACAAAACTGTGCACAACAACTTGACAAACCTGAGGCTATGTGCAGTGGTTTCATTCGCAGGATGCATGGTTATTGTATTGTGATAGCACTCTGAAGGAGGAGTGATTTAGCATGGGGAGCAAAAGGAGGGGAGACTCAGAGTCCAAAATGAAAGTGAAACTTACAAACATGTTAATATGCTGTTTTCTGCAAATAACAATAAAAGGCAACATGGTGATCTAAATCTGCTCTGTGTTACAGGTAATATCCCATAGAAGTCAAATACCGCCTCTTTAATGTTGCCCCAATACAGTGATAAATAAAAGAAAAAGTTCCTAAGCACAGTGAAAGATTGAGTAATAATCACATTTGTTGGTCTGATGTGTGACTTTGTTTGTGTTGTGCTCAAGGGCGTTCTGGGCAGTCTGAAAAGTGGGAAGTCTGCGCTGGTGAACAAGTACATCACAGGCAGTTACCAGGCTGTGGAGAGAGCAGACGGTGCGTTCAAAACTAACTGAATCATGTTCTGATGTAATACTATGTGAACCAGTATAAGTAAATTACTGGTAATGTTTTTAAGCACTGGGCAGTTAAAACAGGTTGTGCTCATGTTATAGAATTTCAGATGGCAGGCAAGTGCCTATATGAGTGTAGGGGCTATGAGTCACTGTTGTTGAAAGAAGTCTCCAAAAAGAAATCCACAAATGTTGAACTTTATCATTATTATTTGTTTGGGATTGGCTCAACAAACTATCACTTTCTGAAGCTGTTGTATAAAAATTGTAAAAAATTGTTTAAATTGTTAAAAATTGTTAAAAATTTGTGTGAATGTGAATAGGCCCGGTAACTATAGAGAGATATGAACCATAAACCAGGTCAACAAGTCTGCATCTGACAGTTACACAGCAAACTCCCCCTGAGACTCTGACATGTCTCTTTTCAAATGGTGATATTCAGTACATGAATTATTTCTACATATTGCCCAACCTCATTACAATTGCATCAATGTGTCTGTGATTATTATTCAATGTAGAATTTATTTCAAATGGACCAATATACTGTCAAGACATGTTTAAATGGATGCATCTTAATTGCCCCAGTATTTACAAAAAGGGCGAATTGGATTTTTGCTGGGTCATTTCTTATTCATGTTTTTATTGCATTTAGAAGATCACTGTGCTATAGACTAATGTGTCTGTGGTATACTGTCTTATCTTTCACAGGGGGCAGGTTTAAGAAGGAAGTGCTGGTGGATGGACAGAGTCATCTGTTAATGATCCGAGAGGAGCCCGGACCACCTGATGCACAGGTAAAAAGAGACAGGGATGGAGGGAGAGTGGGGGGTGACATGACAGAGGGAAAGAGTGACGGTTGGTTCCACAGTGAGGCCATTTAGGTGAAATGTCCTTAGGCAAGACAAGTCACCTACATTGCCTAGTATTGAAGCGGTGTGTGTGTGTGTGTGTGTGTGTGTGTGTGTATGTGTTGGTCAGTGGAGTCAGTGGTGCAGTTTGGCAGCCTGGCTTCTGTCACTCTGCCCCAGGGCAACTGTGGCTACAATAATAACTTATCACCATTGGGTGTGTGAGTGAATAATGCACCAAATTGTAAATCAACTCTGAGCAGCTGGAAAAGTGCTATATAAGCATTATTATTACTATTATTAATCCTGGTTTAGTCTGTGTTTAGACAAGGTTAGTTTAATATCAGTTAAGTTCTAGTTTTGCTTACCACAGCTGAGTATTACCGAGGACTGAATAATGAATAAACTATTTTGAACCACTATGTGATGTTTGTGAAGTGCAATGTGAATCATCCTCTCTCCCTCTTTGTCTCTTTGTCTCCTCTCTCCTCGCTCTCTGTCTCCCTCTCCCCCTGTCACTTCTCTCCTCTTTCATCCTCTCTCTCTCTCTCTCTCTCTCCTCTCCACTCTCTCCCCCTTTCTCCCCCTCTCCCTCTCTGCTCTCAGTTCTGTGGGTGGGTGGACGCTGTGATCCTGGTCTTCAGTCTGGAGAATGAGGCCAGTTTTCAGGAGTTGTATTCTCTGTATGCTCAGCTCAGCTCTCTGCGCTCAGACTTGCCCGTCATCGTGGTTGGCACTCAGGGTAAGAGATGGCATTTAATCAAACACACTCAATTAGTTGTTTAAAAAAAATGTGTACTTTGATTGAGAGGCTCTACATTTTGCATGGGTTAATAGTTTGTTAACTGTGCCAGCAAGATGTTTGTGAGATCATAAACTCTTGTTAGTGTTCGCTTGTGATGAAACTGACCAATCACAGAGAAGTGGTCAAATGAACCAAAACAAACATGACAATACCAACAAATGTAGCCTATTTTAGGAAAATGCTGACTATTTAGTTAGTGAAGCGTGCAGAGGGAAACACTTTGTGCATTTGTGCTTTTCTCTCAACTGGATTTGACTCAGGTTTGATTTTGCGTTTTGTTCTGCTGTTGTGATGATTCAGCCAATCAGGGCGAGTGGGGGTTAGCCTGTTAACCCGTTTACGCAAAAATATCTGTTGAACTCAGGTCGACAGGGGTGACAAAGGGACCAGTGTAACCTGATTTAAAAGTGTTTGCCCCTTCTTCTGAGACGAGAAAATGAATAACACTTAATAGAAGACCCTTTGGACCCCTGTCAGTCAGTTTGATAATAATCAAACAGTCCTACTGTCCACAGGAAACTTCTCTGTCTGTAAATGAACTCATTTGAAATCATTATTCCAGGTGTGAAATTGACAACACAAAGGCATTTTTTTTTTTTAGTATTTTATTTATATCGTAAAGATTCTGTACAAAATCGTTAACATTATGACATTAACAATAACATTATAAACATACATTGTATGTTTTTTCAGTGGTTTATAATGATGTAGGCCTCTGCCCTCCATCTCAGATCATAACAAGTCTAGTGCTTCTGAAACTCTGTCTAGACTGAGCACTATCTCCCTTTTAAAGCAGGCCAGAGCGGGCAACTTGATTCATTTATTTATATTTTGTTACGTGCTACAATTAACTAAACACCTTTAATTCGATTTGAATGTGTGAAACTTAAATGTATTATCTAAACTTGAACATGAACTGTATAGCTCCCTCTCTATTGTTGTGAACCCGGCTCCTGGCTCACAGGGTGAAGGGGCGGTGCTGTGGGCTGTGGGCTGTTGCTAGGCAGATTTTGGCAGCCTGTTTTGGAGAATGGCCAATTCAATACAAATAAAGCTGTGCATTTTATGTTCAGAGCTGGAGGAAACATGGCTGCAGGTTTATGGGCTGTAAAACAACTGTAAATGACATCACAGAAGAAGGATTATAATTAGAAAGCTTCTTGTATTGATTTTTTAATACAGTTTTAGTTGATTAAATGTTATGCTAATTTAGCTGAATGACTAAAGTGTATTTATCATTCTAATTGTGATTGATTATTATACTACACTGACAAAGCCTGATCTCATCAGATCTCAGAAGCGACACAGGGCTGGGCCTGGTCAGTACTTGAATGGAGACCACTGGGTATACTAGGTGCCACAGAGGGGTGCCAGTGGCTCTAGTGCAGGAGTCTCCAGCCTTTTTCCTCCAGTGAGCTACTTTTACAAATTGAATATGACAGAGATATACTCAATTTACTGTTTGCCAGAAATGTAGTATATATAAGAGCCACAGTAAGCCTTACATGGGGTACAGTTAAATGTCTATAAAATATAAACCATTATCCATGTATGGGTGGCCAAAGTCAGGCATAAGTCATGTCATAAATAACACATTTACAGTGGTAATTCATCAAATTTTCGCTTTTCAATGAAATACATATAATTCAGTAATCTCTTGGGGAGCTACTTTGAAGGGGGTGGAGAGTTACTGGCTCCCAAGCTACAGTTGGGCGACCCCTGCTCTAGTGCATACTGTTGTGTTCTTATGCAAGATATTTCAAATAAGAGTCAGGTTTATGGAGCAGCAAGCCCACGAGCAGTAAGGACACATGTTTTTCAGGGCACAACAAATAAACACACACAAAAAATAAAACATTCACATATTTCAGTCATTCTTCTGTAAAATGTACATATGCAGTTGCCTTAATAGTGTTAAAGAAGTGACTGAAATGTGGACATCTCCTGGGTTTGTGTGTACCTCGAGTTTCTTGTTTTGGTCTTTCATTCAAAGGCTTGATGACTGATAACATTTTATTTAGTTGTTTAGTTTTCAGTCTTAAAAATGACCAAAACTGAGAAGATGAAGAATGAATGAAGATGATGATGATACTGGTCAACCAAGTAAACCGTTAAAAGCATATAGTGCAGGCAGTAGACAGAGTTGTTACAGTGTGTATTCTCTTGTGTTTCAGATAAGATCAGCAGCTCAAACCCTCGTGTGATCGAGGACCAGCGGGCGCGGCAGCTCTGCATCGACGTGCGCCACTCTCTGTTCTACGAGACCTGCGCCACCTATGGGTTCAATGTGGAACGAGTGTTTGCTGAAGGTATGTCTGTGTGTATGCTGACTGAACTGACAACTAACTGTATCTAACTGGAAGATTCACATCAACTTAAAGGTGCGCTGTGTCACTTTTTGGTTCGAGGTCTGTCACCTGCTTGTTTCTATGGATATATCATATTTCATAGTATGACATTAAACAGCTCTGCCTTACATTTACTCATTTACAGGTGGTATTCTAGCTCAAAAATGCCTACAAAAAACTCTGGCTCTGAAATTCTGACTGTGAGTGGAATCACCTCTCCACAGATCTAACCTGTAACTTGGTCTTCATTTTCTTAGAAAGCTTTAATGCCATACTGTGAAACATTCCGTTCAAAATAATAACATTTGATGGACCCTCCACCAGAAAAGTTACACAATGCACCTTTAAACAAGCCTATAACAGTAAGAGTAACAGTGTTCCCTAATCATGAACTTACTTCTTCTGTAATTGATCCACGCATGTTTGGATTGTCTTAAATTTGAGGCTTGAGTGATTAGAAAATTTCTGTTTCACCTACCCCCATCTCCATTTATATGTGTATATATTTTAAAGTGCCCCTACACTGTTTTCTGATCTCTTCTAAAGTAGTTTCCTCATCACACACAGACCTGGAGTTGTGTTTTTTTTTTCATTCACACAGACCCTGCACATAAGGCTGAGCTCTTCTCTCAAACAGAAAACACTCTGTTCCACCTTGTGATGTAATGTGGTGATACAGGAAGTGTTCCACTATGTTTTTAAACTCGACACATCTTCATTAGAATCATTAGGATCATTTCAACCTATATTTGCCAATCTCTATTTAACTAAAGAGCTGTTAATTTGAAAACTACCATCATGACATCATAAGGTGGAATCTGGAAATGTACACAGATTAATAATAAAGGATTATTGAAACATGTATGAATGAAATTCCAGGTATGTTTTTGATGAGGGAACAACTTTATAACACGCTCCAAAGCAGTAAAGCTCCAAAAAGTCATTTTTTACATAAACCCCCCTGTTTAAAGACTGCTATATGGGGTCTTATTATAAAAGCTGCCTAAACAGAGATGTCATAATTAGTTATTTTTTGTTCAGCCCAACAAGAAATAATACAAAAAAAGACTGACATTCTGCAGAGGAACCAACGTGTGTGATGTTCTTTGTTCTTTGCTTTGGTCCATTTTTATCTCGTGGCTAAATCTGGTACAAAGGCTCTGTTCTCCTCTGTCTTGTACATCGTCTCAAAACAACTTCTACATCTAACATCTTGAAAATATGCATCATTTGAATATTGGCTATACTGTTCATCACAACAATTGTAGCAAAAATATGATTCAAAATGAAAATGGAACAAACTTATGTTGCAAAAAAATGTTAGTAATTTCACATTTGTCTGATCCTGAAACCTCAACAGGTACATTTAAAGACATGTTTTAACATCGATCAGTGATTTCTGATGAAATATGCTTATTACTCAATACTGATATTCTGATACTGTCATGATAGAACTTAAAAAAGTACTCAAGAGAATAGAATTGTTTCTCTTACTTAATATTACCACGTGTTCTAACATCACAACTTGGAACAGAGCATTTTACTCAAACATGTGTGAATGAAACAAAACACAACTCCAGGTCTGTTTTTGTTAAAGTTACAACATTCTATTCATGGCTTCAAGCTCACAAGACTGACTCTTGTGAGCTTGAAGCCATTTTGCATAATATCGGACACCTTTATGTTACCAGGTCAAACTGTAGGGACAGTAGGAACAGATTTGTGTTCTCTGGTCTGGTTTTCATTTATGGTTTGATTCAGTTGAAATGAACAGTATCTGAGGAAGAGTTTTCTCTGTGTTTTGGTCTATGTTGCTCAGCTGCTCAGAAGGTGGTGGCTCAGAGGAAGCAGGCTGCTCTTCAGGCCTGTAAGTCTCTGCCCAACTCGCCCAGTCACTCCGGAGGGTCTACGCCAGGCTCTGCCTCATACCCCAGCCAGGTAAATACTACTACTACTACTACTACTACTACTAGTACTAGGTAAATATACAAGTGAGTAGTCATTGTATTAGATGATGAATCATTTTATTTAGATTATAAGCCTTGTATAATTGTTGTGAGTGCAGTTTGGGTCAAATACTTTTTTACTTCTGTAGTCCTGGTTTAGACTTGGTTTAGTCCTTCTTTAGACCTGATTTATTCCTGGTTTACACCTAGTTTAGGCTTGGTTTAGTCTCGTTTATGTGGTTCAGTCCTTGTTTAGTCCTGGTTCAGACCTGGTTGAGTCCTGGCTTAGACCTTTAGTCTTGGTCAAGTCCTGGTTGTGTATATGCCGGTTTAAAATGTGAAATTTTAGGTTTTAATCATTACACTTTTAGATTGGCCTGGTTTACAACAAAATGCACATTCTTGGTTCAGACCTGGTTCAGTCCTGGTCTAGACCTGTCTAAGATCTCTTTCATGCAGGACACGTCCTTTAGGCTCCAGCATTTTCATAGAGTTTCTCTGCTTTAAGTAAACAGCTTCCTCTGAGTCTAGACGGATATTATTAGTTTGGATAAAAATAACAGCGATGTGAAATTCAAAAGAAGAGACTGTTTTTGAACCAGAATTTAAATGAGCCTTTTCTTTTCATGTGTTTTCCCAACTCACTGAAGTCATAATGATGCACAGGGCTGTATGTTCACTCTGTTCCTGCTAGTGCACCAGGCACTCGCTGAAGGAGGCACTAGTTGTAGATGTTTCACTCTCCCAAACCCTTTGGCACATCACTAGTATTCACATGCATGAGTTTTCACACACATGCACAGCTGTACAAGTGATTTTTCAGAGTGGAGCAGGAAGGCCTCCACCCTCACAGTAGCCCGACCAAGATGAGCCTAAGATTTGGAGATGGGTCCCTGACTGGCACTGTAGTCCCCACTTCCCTTAGGTCATTCCAGGAGAGACATGAGATAATAAGTTTATCTTAGCATTACTCTGAGCTCAGACTGCACACCCTACAGCTCCGGTCCAGTGGCCGTAGGTACTCCCATAATTCAAAGTGATGAGAGGAGCTCAAACTGCACTGTACAGTCCGGCGGAGGGGCCACGACGCTCCAGATTCTTTCCGTTGGGAGTGTATTTTTGCTGATCACTGGAGCCATTGCAGCCTTTTGCTTAATATCTCAATCGTTAATAGAATAGAATATGGTTATGGCGTGAGCGTGATGTGGTCTGCTCTGTGCAGATTCAAAGCCTGTGGCACAACAGCACAGCAAAGCAGCGCTCTGAGTGTCACACTGCAGGTCACAGCTGGATGGGAGCAGTGTGAGCGAGGCGGCTCTCCAGCAAAAAAAAGTTGGATTCATATTATTGCAACAGAGCTCCAGGACATACTGTTTGTGACTACCAGCGTATTATTTGTGTTTTTAGTGCTACTAGACCCTTTAAATCCATGGACTGGTCTGTCAGTCATCTCCACCTGTTTGAACTCACCTGTGTCACCAGCTCATCTCACCGTGTTCATTTCTCCCCCTCACCTCCATCACCCCCCTGACCCCCCACCCCCTCACCCTCCTCCCTTCACCCCCCCTCAGGTCAGTAACGGCCCGAGCCCTGGCTACACTTACTCCCTCCCTTCCACCCCTGTGGTCAGTCACAGAGAGCTGAGGGTGGCTCCAGGGGAGGGGGCGGGCTCTGTGTCTCGCTCACACAGAACCATCCCCCGAAGACCCTCCCTCTTCAAGGTCAGTGTCACCCATCTCTCGCCCATCTCTCACCCATCTCTCACCCATCTCTCACCCATCTCTCACCCATCTCTCACCCATCTCTCACCCATATCTCAGCTTTAATAATAAACTATAGCATTTGTCAGTTGGTTATTTTATGTTTTGTTCATTTCATTTTATAAACAGAAACACAACTTTGACATTTACAGCTGTAAGAAATTCTAAACTTGATGAATCCTGACACCTCACCTCACACATTTCAGTTCATGTTGTCTCTCATCATCACTGCATCCTCTCTTCTCTCCCTCTCTTTCCCTCTCTTCCTCTCTCTCCCTCTCTCTCTCCCCACTCTCTCTTGCCCTTTCTCTCTCCCTCTCTCTGTCTTTTCCTCTCTCTGTCTCTTCCTCTCTCTTTCCCTCCCTCTCTCTCTCCCCACTCTCTCTTGCTCTTTCCCTCTCCCTCTCTCTGTCTCTTCCTCTCTCTTTTGCTCTCTCTCTCTTTCCCTCTCTCTCTGTTTCTCTCTCTCCCACCTCTCTCATCTCTGTGTCTTTGTCTCTCTCTCTCTCCCTGTCTTTCTCTCTCGCTCCCACCTCTCTCTCCCTCTCGCAACTCTCTCTCTACCCGCTCTCTCCCTCTCTCTCTGGCTCTCTCTATCCCACCTCTCTCTTTCTCTTTTTCTATCTCTCTGTTTCTCTCTCTCTCATCTCTTTCTCTTTGTCTCTCTCCCTCGCTCTGTCCCAAGTCCCCCCCCCCTCTCTTTCTGCACATGTGTAATGTTGTGTCTCTTGTTTCAGAATCGTGACCAGGAGAAGAAATCGGGTGACTCTAAAGGAGAAGTGAGCACGAACAGAGGAGTCCCCATTAAACAGGTGTGTGACAAACCTGAGTCTGCTGCTCTCGTCCTGGACCTGCTGCGTTTCACTCCCACGTTATTTAACTCTGTAACTTGCCCACCACCTGCTTGTTTCCATGGTGATGTTATTACTTTGTCTAGAATTCATTTGCTTGTTTGCCGTTATTGGGTTATTTCTTTTTTATTTTAGATTTTAAAACAAAGGTTGCATTCTTAGTGTTGCAGGGTCACCTCTGCACAGATCTGACCTGTAACTTGGCCTGGTGAGTCACCTGCTTGTCTCTTTAGAGACAGATAACTGGCCCCACAGTACGTCTAAGACCTCATCCAAATGTACTCCCCAGCCCACTCTGAGGTCCAGCTCCAGCTCGTGGGACCTAAAACGAGACTTAAAACCAAAGAGGACAGGACCTTCTCTGTGATCAGCCCCAAACTCTGGAACGCTCTGCCCCCTCATGTTTCAACCGCCCCCACAGTGGAGGGTTTGAAGTCTGGTCTTAACTAGGGATGGGCATGATTAGTCGATTAATCGATAATTGATCATTAAGAATTTCATCGATTACGTTAATTTTAATCGACAAACCGAATGTAGGTTGCTGTGCGTAGTGTGACCAAACAGGTCTGTACATGTAGCTCTCTGTGCACTCAGAAGGAGCAAACAGCCTGCAACGTACTGAAGTGCAACGATGACTTGTACAAGAAATTCCACGCTTTCCGTTCCGTTTGGGACAAGTGTGAGTCCATGTGCACAGTGTTCAAAGCAGCACATATGTTTCTGTGTCCAGTGGGAAAAAGTTTTGCCAGGTGAGAGTCGCGCAATGTGGATGACGAGTCCCCACCTCCCTCCCCCCGTACGCTGTCCTGGTTTTGACAAACGCTAATCTGGTCACACTAACCTGTATTCCACTGAGTCATGTCTTTTAATCCAACAGAAGTTGAACCGCATCAGCGACACAAGAGATGTATCTTCGCTTAGTTTATGCAAATTAGCGATGCGGTTTTAAGTTTTGTTTCTGTGAGAGTTGCGCAAAACTTAATTAAACACATTATAATGTCAAACGGGCTGATGCGGTTCTAGAGTGGTCACGGTTTATATGTCGTAAAGTTGAATTTATTTATGCAGATTAGTAGTGCAGATAGTAATAATAATGATGATCATTTTAATATAAAAACGTTAATGATTAATCGATAATCGATCGTGAATTCTTCCGACGATCGATTAAGAAAATTTCATCGAATGCCCATCCCTAAACACCCACTTTTATTCTTTGGCTTTAACCGTGTGAGTTGTGTTGTTATTTGATTGGACTGGTTTTATTGTTTTAGGACTGATATGACCAAATTTGAGCAATTTGTTGTTTTCATTTTATGATCTCTGTGTAGCACTTTGGAAACTGCTTTGTTTGTAAAATGCACTATATAAATGAAGTGGATTTGGATTTGGATAGATAAGTTTAATGCTGTACTGTGGAACAATCCTGGCAAACAATCCACCAGAAAGGTTTTATATGACATATTTTAAGTTATAAAACATGAATAATCCACAGGGAGCTCTAATGTTTGTCCCAGTTGAATCTAGTTCATTCAGTAACACCATGGCCTCTCTTTATTCTCACTATAATGAACGTGTTTGTGAGTGTGCGTTTTCCTTCACACCCCGTTGATGCTGTGAACTAACTGAATAAGTCTATATTTAACCTGATATAATGTACCTCGGTATTGAGCCTGACAGGGGCAGAGTGCGTCGTGTTTCTGAAGCTGTTCTATAAATACACTGTGCTGCAGCTGTCACACGCTGTTTTTAGACTCTTTTAAAGTCTTCACCTGTACACTGTTTGTGATATATTTAACCACATCCTTTGCTCATCTGTTTCACTGCAAACGTGAACATCTATGTGAAAGAACCACAACTGAGGACAGCAATCCACAGGAGTTTTGAGTCGTGTTTTTCCCCCTTATGCTTTATAGTTTTTTCACCAAATATTTCAGTCTGACACCAAACAAGTACATACATGTTTAAGCTGTTAAACAAATATACAGTATATCTGGGCTACATGAATGAAAATGACTTCTTAAATTTATATTATTAGCTTTGTTTATTTTGACTAGTTCAGATTTACTTTGCTCACCTCTCCACAAGATTTACTTTTGATTCAAATCAAATATAATGGTCCACAACGTCTTTGTGTCCTTCGAGATAATAATAATAATAATAATACTATTTATATTTTTTACGCTTTTGTTGTTATATTATATTGTGATGTGTGAGATCCCGTGTCCAAATAATTTCCCACAGTATGACTTTAACTCTATGTGTAAATCTATATTTGTGACAGATGAGTTTCATGCCATATTGTGGCAAAGCAGTAACATCTCCATGGAGACAAGCAGATCCACCAGAAACATTCCATATTGTTCTTTTAAGTGATGTAGCTATACATACATACACTGTCTTTACATGATGAATATGTTTTTAAATGTGTTTCTTATTGTCTCCACAGAGCATTTTGTACAAGAGGAGTGGGAGCTCGCTGAACAAAGAATGGAAGAAGAAATATGTGACGCTGTCCAACACTGGAACTCTGTCGTACCACTCCAGCTCCAATGTAAGAGAAGGCCGATTTACACACAGGCAGTGAATGCACCATCACTGTATGAGTGCTCAAAAAAACAGACAGCAAACATAACATCATACAGTTCAAGCTCCACTCTAAGAGGAGACAGATTTACACACAGGCAGTGAACGCACCATCACAGTATGAAGGAAACAGTGAATGCACCATTATCACCCTGTAGTATCTTTCCAACTCCAGTGTAATATGAGACAGAGCTATAAAAATCGCATCAATATTCCGATTTCCACACTGTCAGCAAAAGCACCATCATCTCCTGAGCCCTGCGTACGACATTATGAGAGCAGAGTCAGAGGAGGGAGACTTTTACTGATGAGGGGGGATTCTGCAAAATCACATTTTTGGATCTTTCATGTTATAATGTTCCCTCATCAAAAACATGCCTGAAGAGGTTTTAGATGTCATCCATACCTGACACACATGAGTAATTTAGTGATCTCCCAAGTCCTATTTAAACCCACGTAACAGTTAGCTGTAGCCCACAATCCTACTTCACCCACGCTCCCACATGACCATAAATATACACAGACATGATACAAAACTGTACACTGCAACTTTACAAATGTGATGCCATGTGCAATTATTTCATTAGTGGAATGCAGGGTTATAGTGTTGTGACAGTGCTCTGAAGGAGGAGTGAACAACAAAAGGGAAACTTTTTAAACACGTTAATATGTTGTTTCTGCAGATTGGGCATTTTCAAAACAATAAAAAGTATCATGGTGGTCTAAATATGTGATGTTTTAGCATTTAATACCCGTCAGAAGTGTAATACCCCCACTTAAAGAAATGATTGAATTCTTTCTTCTTAAGTTTACATGTTATAATTATGCAATAAGCCATACTGTATTTACTTGAATTCACAAATATTTCAAGAGGGGGTATTTTACTTCTATGGAGTATTAACTGTAACACAACATATTTACATCTCCATGTTGCCTTTTATTGATTTGAATGCTATATTTGCCCAAAACAACATATCCACGTGCTGTTTCCAGGATTATTCTCAGAACTCTCATGGGAAGGAGATTGATCTTTTGCGTGTCACTGTAAAAGTCCCCGGGAAGCGACCTCCGCGAGCTGTGGCCCCCACTGGACCCTCACCAGCTCCCCCTACTGCCCCAGGGGTCAACGGCATCAGCAAAGAGAACAGTGCAGAGACTACAAGTACAGGTGAGAGAAGACGAGGGGTAGAGCTAAACCAGGTCTGAACCAGCTCTGAACCAGGACTGAACCAGGACTGAACCAGGACTGAACCAGGTCTGAACCAGGTCTGAACCAGGACTGAACCAGGTCTGAACCAGGACTGAACCAGGTCTGAACCAGGTCTGAACCAGGACTGAACCAGGACTGAACCAGCTCTGAACCAGGACTGAACCAGGACTGAACCAGGTCTGAACCAGGACTGAACCAGGACTGAACCAGGACTGAACCAGGTCTGAACCAGGACTGAACCAGGACTGAACCAGGACTGAACCAGGACTGAACCAGGACTGAACCAGGACTGAACCAGGTCTGAACCAGGACTGAACCAGGTCTGAACCAGCTCTGAACCAGGACTGAACCAGGTCTGAACCAGGACTGAACCAGGACTGAACCACCAGGACTGAACCAGGGTCTGAACCAGGTCTGAACCAGGACTGAACCAGGACTGAACCGGGTCTGAACCAGGACTGAACCGGGTCTGAACCAGGACTGAACCAGGACTGAACCAGGACTGAACCAGGACTGAACCAGGTCTGAACCAGGTCTGAACCGGGTCTGAACCAGGTCTGAACCAGGACTGAACCAGGACTGAACCAGGTCTGAACCAGGACTGAACCAGGACTAAACCAGGACTGAACCAGGTCTGAACCAGGTCTGAACCGGGTCTGAACCAGGACTGAACCAGGACTGAACCAGGTCTGAACCGGGTCTGAACCAGGACTGAACCAGGTCTGAACCGGGTCTGAACCAGGATTGAACCAGGTCTGAACCAGGTCTGAACCAGGTCTGAACCAGGACTGAACCAGGACTGAACCAGGTCTGAACCAGGTCTGAACCAGGTCTGAACCAGGACTGAACCAGGACTGAACCAGGACTGAACCAGGTCTGAACCAGGACTGAACCAGGACTGAACCAGGACTGAACCAGGTCTGAACTAGGACTGAACCAGGTCTGAACCAGGACTGAACCAGGACTGAACCAGGACTAAACCAGGTCTGAACTAGGACTGAACCAGGACTGAACCAGGACTAAACCAGGACTGAACCAGGTCTGAACCAGGTCTGAACCAGGACTGAACCAGGTCTGAACCAGGACTGAACCAGGTCTGAACCAGGACTGAACCAGGTCTGAACCAGGACTAAACCAGGTCTGAACCAGTTTTGTCTCTGAATTCTCTGTTCCTGTGTCAGTCCCTCAGCTCTGTCCCAACACTCTGTCTGTGGTTGAAGATCGCACTGGTGGGCTCTCTCCTGTAGGGGGCGATAAAGCTCTGCAGCACTGTCCCCTGTCCCTGTCCACCAAAGCACAAAGTGTCGGTGAGTATGACAGAAATATTTTTGCCTTTTTGTTGTAGAGGGCTTATTGACTTTCTAAAGTCATTATAACATGGTTAAAAACTCATAAAATTTTGGGCCCTTAGGCAAGGTACTTCACCAGATTTTCTAGTATGAATGTGGTGTGTGTGTGAGTGTTGCTTGGTATTGGTCAGATAGTACAGATTTGCAGCCTTGCTCCAACAGTCTGCCCCAGGGCAGCTGTGGCTACAGCAGTATCTATCCACAGAGTATGGAGTGAGTGAATAATGCTCTGTAAAGCACTTTGGGTGTCTAAAAAGGTGCTTAATCCACAGCATTACTAGTATTATTCATTTTTAAAAATTAAAATACATTTTCCAGATGCTCTCGAAGGCACCGCAGTCCCCTTCACCGGGAAAGAGTCGAGTCAGTCGTCTCCGATGAGCGACCGCAAAAAGAACCGACGGAAGAAGAGTATGACCCAGAAAGGAGACGCAGCTGTGGGGCAGGCTGAAGGTACTGAACCAGGACTGAACCAGGACTAAACCAGGACTAAACCAGGACTGAACCAGGACTTGAACCAGGACTGAACCAGGACTGAACCATACAAATCTGGCCTGAGCATGTAGGTAATCGGCCTCCCTGGTTTGAAAAATACTGGTATTGGCACTGACCATGAAACTGACCATAAACCTGGACTGAACAAGAACTGACAGGACTGAAACAAGACTAAACTGGGATGATGTAACTTAATAAGGACTAAACCAAGGCTGAACCAGAACTAAACCAGATCTAGATGAGGACTAAACCATGGACTAAACTTGGGGTTGAAACCAGGGACTAAACTATGAATAAATAAATCTTCAACCAGTAATAGCTATTTGTCACAAACAGCATATGTTTATCTTTCCTTTCTCTACTTTAAAAGTACATAAAATAGTTCTCCTGTCTTTCACTTTTGCTGATCTAACCTTTATTTCTCTCTCCTTCATCTTGTCTTTCTCTTTTTCCTCTCCTCCTTCTTTATGCTTCCGTTGTTCTGCAGCTAAACGTAAAATGTGGAAACTCAAAAGCTTTGGTAGTCTGAGAAACATAAATAAAACAGGTAACTGGAGGAGCTGTGCTTTACTCATTGTTATTAAACACTTCATATCTGCTCTTTCTCTGCATGCTCCACCAATACATTCATTTTGTCTTGTATTCACATGTAAAATATAATGTCAAATAAGGCTGAGAGCCTGAATCTGGGTTGCACCAATACTTTTAACTTACTTCTAGTTTAGTGATGGGCTGTCTGCTCTTGTCAGATATTTGGTCTTTTGTGGCACACCCATTTGTCTTACATTTTGTATCTCCAAAGTGCAGAGTATGTGTTACTAAAACATGTACTAATATTTTAAATAGTATAATTTGTCTTAACATGTGACTGGCCATTTGGTGTGTTCATCTTAACAAACTTATCTTATTTTTTATGCATTGGAGTTAGTTCTCAAACCTCAGTTCACGAGGAAATCTTTAGTAACTGTGAACTTTAAACCAGGTCTATATAAACCTGAAAGGTGCTTGGAGGTTTATTGATGGATTTCCCCACATATCGTATTAGTTTGATAGAGTAGAATGTTTTGCATTGGACAGATATTTTTTTCTGCATTGCTCCAGTCTCTGTGTCCATGTTTCATTCTCGGTTTGTCCTTTGTGCAATCAGTTTTGTCTTATCAGTGAAAATATGAATTCATATCCTAGATAAATACATTATCACTTTATTATACATTATAAATGTTATTATTTTTAACTCACAGTCATAAACTTCAAATATGGGCATCTCAAAAGTAAAATAAAATAAATAAATAATAATAATACAAAAAATCAGTGTACTGAGTTGTTTTCTCGTGATTTCAGATGAAGAAAACTCAGACTTCATCATCGTCTCTTTCACTGGTCAAACATGGCACTTTGAGGCTCAGAGCCAAGAGGAGAGAGACTCCTGGGTCACTGCCATCGAAAGCCAGATCCTGGCCAGTCTGCAGTCCTGCGAGAGCGGCCGGAACAAGGTACTGAACCAGGACTAATACAGGACTGAACCAGGACTAAACCAGGACTGAACCAGGACTAAAGCAGAACTGAACCAGGACTAAAGTGGGACTAAACCAGGACTAAACCAAGTCTAAAGCACTGAGATTGACACAGCACAGGTGAATGTTGAAAGCTGCAGCGTGATGTGACCTGACTGTGTTTGTGATGTCTCTGTGTTGTGTCCAGGCTCGGCGCAGCAGTCAGAGTGAAGCTGTGGCTCTTCAGGCCATTCGAAACGCTAAAGGGAACGGGCTCTGTGTGGACTGTGAGGCCCCCAGTGAGTAACACTAACCACACCGCTCTGATAACTGCCACCAGGAACCATGGGCTTACCTCCTGTTTCTGTGGTGTCTAAACTCCTACATGAGTCCAGCCTTTGACACTTCCCATCATTAAAGGTGCATGGTGTAACTTTTCTGGTGGAAGGTCTGTCAGACAAAGCAATGACATATCCATAGAAACAAGAAGGTGACCCCCCAACCAAAAAGTTACACAGTGCACCTTTAAATAAGCAATTTTGTGTTGATTTTGGTGCCTCGACCCCGCTGCCTCTCTTAAACACTTTTCTGCCCCCTCTTCCTCAGATCCGACCTGGGCCAGTCTGAACCTCGGGGCCCTCATCTGTATTGAATGTTCTGGGATCCACCGTAACCTGGGCACTCACCTGTCTCGAGTCCGCTCTCTGGACCTGGATGACTGGCCCGGGCAGCTCACACAGGTTCTGGCAGCAATTGGGAACCACACGGCCAACAGCATCTGGGAGAGCTGCACCCAAGGGAGAAGCAAGCCCACACCCAACGCTACACGGTCTGTATTAGGACTAAAGCAGGACTGAACTAAGACTGAACCAGGACTGAACCAGGACCAAACCCAGGGTCGTTGCTAGCTATTTGGGTGCCCTCAGCACAAATGCTTGGTGGTGCCCCACCACCCCACCCTGCTCGGAATGAACAATAATAAAGAAATCAGTGCAATTCACTTTATTTCCAAAACAAATACACCAAACATGAAAGTTAAAATAGTAAAAGATTAAAAAAGGTTAATAAATAAATGTCACCAGCATTATTCTAATCAGAGATTTGTGTAGTGACTGTAGACTGAACACTGAACTGAACATTGTAAACACAGAACAAGTATATGCCCTTGTATGTCATAATGTGTACATTTCTTTGGTAAATAATGCTCATAAGTACAAATAAATGCACAGTAGAATTGACTGCAAACCGTTTCAAACGTCACATTTTTAAAACTCAGATACAGTGTGTCCTTAAGTAAAGATGAAGTTACTGATAATAAAAGAGAACTGGTTGAGTTTTACTCATAAATATGTGTCTGTTTCCAGTGAGGAGAGAGAGTCTTGGATCCGAGCAAAGTACGAGCAGCGAGCATTTGTGGCTCCTCTCGCACCTGTCCTGACACGGCACCTGCCAGAGGAAGCCATGCCCCAGTGGCTCCTGTCCGCCGTGACTGACAGGGACCTCCCCAGGCTCCTGCTGCTCCTCGCCCACAGCAACAAAGAGCAGATCAACGCTGTGCCCGGTGTAGCGCCCCCATGTGGTACTGCCCTGCACGCCGCCTGTGCGCACGGGGACGTGGTCATGACTCAACTGCTGGTCTGGGTATGATCGAATATAAGTGCACAATGTGTATAATATAGTATATAATATATAAAGTATATATATATATAGTATATAATACTATTACTCAAGTAGAAAGTGCATTTAAAATATTGTGTATTTTCAAAGGACACACCCAAAAAACTTTTCACATACATTTTTGTTTTGAATAATTGTCATTTAACATAATTAAGCAGTGAAATGTAGTTGTAATGTACACAATGCACGTTCATTGTTTTAGTGAAGAGGAATATATGAATAGCCTGTGTAACTGTTCACATGTAGGACACTGCAAAGTTTACTTTTCCAACATGAAACAGACTGCAGTACTGTGCTGATCACATGACTATTTGACATAGACTTAATCATTGTATTATATTTGGCTCAGTTTCCAGGGTAAAGTTTCCCCCTGGGCTCTGATCGATACCTCTGCTCTGCTCCCTCCTTTAGTACGGCGTGGACGTGAGACTGAAGGACGACCAGGGACAGACACCGCTCATGCTCGCCAGAAAAACAGGAAGCAAAATCTGCATGGACATCCTGTTACAACATGGCTGCTCCAGTGACACGCCCCCAACCACTGCCACGCCCACACTCTCACGCAGGTAAAGCACTATTACGGAACATTTATCATCATAGTGAGAAGAAGTACGCTCCTATTTGATAAATAATAATAAATCTTTCTTTGTAAAGCACTTTTAAAAACAAGGTTTACAAAGTGCTGTACAAGCAGCAAAGAACAACACAAATAGCATTCAGAAAGTATACAAAATCTGACAATGAAGCAAGTTTATGAAATAGAATAAAATTAATAAAACCAGTTAGAGCAGGGGTGTCAAACTCATTTTGGTCCGGGGGCCTTATCCAACCTACATGATTCCAAAGGGGCCGGATCAGAAAACTCATGGCATATAAACCCCAAAAATAGCAATAAGTTCAAATATTTGTGCAGAGAAACACACATCTATTACAGAAATCTTTTTTAATTGATGAACTCTTTCTTTTACAAAATATTATAATATTATGAACAACTTGAAACTTTAAGAAAAATACAATTTCAACACCATGTTTTAACATGAACTTGTTTGCAAATAGGAATAAATCGATTTTTCTTGGAAAATCCTGCACTCGGCTCCACTTTTCTCATGTTTGACATTTTGTTGATGAGGGGTCACGGTCAACAGTCAAAACAATCGTCCTTTAAGAGCGTTTGGAAAAAGACAAGTCTTCATTTGTGCTGCTCTGTTGGGAGGGGCCACGTACAGAGACGCTGGAGACGCTGCTGTGATAAGCACTGCAGAAAATTACCTATATTTTTAATAGAAAATATAATTAAAATATTTTATTAGAAAATCAGCCGAGGGCCACATTAAAGGTCTTGGAGGACCTTATGTTTGACACCCCTGAGTTAAAGGAAGGCCAACCGATAAAAAGGAGTTTTAAGAACTGATTTAAAAGATGATACTGATGGTGCGAGCTTTATTTCCAGTATTTTCACTTATGTACCTTTTTAGATTTGCTTGATTTGAAATACTGAAGACAAACAAACATTCAGTTCAGATCAAATATAAGATGTATTATGTGTCTTGTCCCAGTACAGATATATTGTATAAGCAGCTCTTGAAGTCAAAATCAGTCCTCTGTGTACTGGCTGCATCTAATTATAAAGCGTTTTATTGTTTGATAATCAGGAAGAGCTTTAGCATGCTAGTTGTTGTTTGCTTTACCGTGACACCAAAACTCCGCTCTGGTCTTTTAAAGTTGTGAAAAGTGCTTATTTATAAACTCATCACTGTGAATAATTAGGGTGCTCTGAATGCAGAAGGTAAATGAAGATAATTCTGGACCACTGCAAACTGTTTACAATAAACTAGTTTTGTTTTTCACATTTTTAAGATTCTAAAAATCAGGCACAGCTCGTGAAATAATGCTCCATTATTTTGCTGTAAAAATAAGAAATTATATCTGAAAATATAAAGTGCAAAAGTCCAAGAAATGACAGTATCCAAATAAGTGAATAGGTCATTGACACCATAAATGAATAAATAAAAAAATAATATTATTAAAAGTACAGTATCATTAAATAAAGCTGAAGTAAATGTAACTCTCTTCTCTGTCTTTGTCCCAGGTCGAGCACTGCGAGCCTGGGACGCACCCCCTCCAGAAAGAGGCCTTCATAGAGTGGACCTCATCTCCACTGGACCAGAACTTAACATGAGAACCATTTAAGTGTATGAAGAAGTAGAAGAACCATGAGACTATGAGGAACCTTCACCATGAGAAGAACTCTGAAACATATCAAACAATGAAAGCAATATCCACTCACTGTCCATGTATTGCTTCAACTGTGTCGCTGTCTATGACCTCATCCATTTCAACATGAACTTAGAAAAGGAACTGTGTAACTGCGCTGTGCAAGTGTTATCTACTAATGTTTGAAATGACTTGTATTCTGAAAGCTGAAGCCCTGGTCAGTCCTTATAGCATGTTAAACTGTTTATTTAAAGGGACTCAATTACACAAAACTGACTCTTGTGAACTTTAAGTCATGTTCCCTCCTCAGAAACAGACCTGGAGTTGTGTTTTGTTTCATTCACAAACCCTTTCTTGTTAGTCTGTCTACATCTCCAGAGCTCTAAATGCTCTGGTCCACCTTGTGATGTCACAAGGCGATAGTTTTTAAATTAACTGCTGTTTACATTTAGTGTTGTACGTAGAGTGTTTTCTGTTTGGCTTAAATGTGCAGAGTTTATGTGTTAATCATGTGTGAATGAAACAAAACACAGCTCCAGGTCTGTTTGTGACGCGAAAACTACATTAGAACACAGATCAGAAATTAGTGCAGTATGGGCCCTTTAAAGTAAAATGTTTGGATTCAAAGCATATTTTACACTTACTGTCACTTAGTAGGTCATTTAGAACCAAAGCCTTTTGTCTTTAATGCATTTTCATTGTCTTATACCTTATCACAATAAAACTCTTTCTGCAGCTCGTCAATGCAGATGGTTTTATTTTGTTAAGGAGATGGTATTAGTGGAGTCTACAGACACTGGAGCCTGGTTCTGGTCGAATAAATCGGCAAACTCATTTTGGATATTGTGCTGAAGATGTGGTATGTGCGTGAGGAACTTTTCTGAGGTTTTGGGTTAAACACACAAAGAAACAAAGCAGAAAGCAGCGTTGCATGTGAAAGAGCCCTGACAGCTCCTCTCTCATCCAGCACCTGTGGCATCAAACCTGCGCTGACAGCAGCACAGACGCCCACATCAGCCCAGGACCACCAAAGTGTCTCTCCGCCTTAAAAACAAAATGCACTGGTTATCACGTTCCTATAACTGTAACTATCACGTTCCTAGTAAGAACTATATGTAGAGTATATTCAGAATACAAGTCATTTTAAGTTTCGTAGATATATTTATGCAGTGCTGTGTTTTTTTAAAGTCTGTTTCACTTCCTCCTGTAAGAAGTGCAATAATAATTTAGCAACGAAGAAGAGATTCTGTGACCGACGCCACGAGCAGAGCCACAACTGAGCTGCACTGAACACATGAACTCCAGAGAAAAACTATACGAATGCTTCTATTCAAATAGGTTGCCTTCACTTTCTATCATTTCAGGCGGAGGGCAGGGTCCAGTGTCACTCTGTGGTGGATCCACAAATTTGCTAGATTAAAGGCACTGTACCAGATTTTTTCTGTCTCAAAAACATGAAAAACAAAACTAGTTCATTTTAAACAGTTTGCAGCGGCCCCAGTGGTTCTTCCTTTCGTACCTCGTGCATGCACAGCATCCTAATGATTCAACGACGAGTTTATAAACGGATTTTACAGCTTTGAAACCAGAGCGGAGTTTTGTTGTCATGGTAATGCTGACAACAACAGTCCTTTCTGATTATTGGACAGTAAAATGCTCCATAATTAGATGCTGACAGTACAAAGCTAATTATTTAACCTCCAAAGTTGCTTATACAATATATCTGTACAAGACACAAGACGCATTCTGCTCAAATACATGGAAAACAAATCATGTACAGGGCCTTTAATTTAATGAAGTGTTCTCATCAGCAACAGACTACACATTTGAGATTGAAGAATGCTGCCTCTTTTCACAGCTGTTGTGAAAACTATTTAACTGTACTTTATTTCTTCTGACAGAAGATAATGATCTTTGTGCCAGTTTTTGTTTCATGTGGATAGGCCAAGTAATTATATTCATTAGGGAAGGGTGATTCCAGTTTTTAGAATGGATATGATACCAGGTATGTCAGAGGTGTACGATATTGATATTGATACCGATACTTGATACTGGTCTAATCTTAAGGGTAAGTGAGTTTAACTAAATATATAATATATGAAGAAATTGCCCTAAGATTTGCATAATCATTGCAAAACAGTATCAATACCCACATTTGTACTCTACTGTACCGATATATATCGATTTCAATAATTCACTCCTGAATATTCATCATAAACCAGGTCAACAAATCTCCAACCTGACAGTCACACAACAGATTCCACCACAGAGTTCTGACCTGTCTCAAGCTCTGTTTTAATCTTAAGTCCTGTCATTATGTGAACGCAGCCTATTTGTTTTCAATGGACCAAAACTGTTATTTTGGCTTTACAAATAGAATAAACGTATACATTATATTGTATGAAATGTGCCTGTTTTGGCCTTAAAGCTCTTACATTTGCTGATCTACCATTTTGTGCTGATTCAACTCAAATATAAATGCATTCTTTTTAGATTAGCAAAAATATTGGTTTAAAACTGATATGTCAATGTAATAATATGGCGTTTCAATATATTGTACATGTATCTATGGTATTCTACACGCTGTACTTAATGTTACATACAGCCTCAACTGGAAGTCCGCCTCAAGTTTTGTAAAAGATGAGTAGCTTTTCAAATTTGTGTTTCATTGTCTTTTTGATAATTTCTTATTCTTTCTTAAGTGTCATGAATGAGTAAGCACATGTTTTTTTACATTATAATATTGTAATGACGTTTTACTTGGGGATAGACGCAATTAAAAACTGTTCATTTCAAGGCTATCCCATTTACAGAAGGACCCTGAAGCTCATGAACGCAACAAAATGAACAATGAAATAAAACTTTTTGTATAAATGTGAATGTTTTTTCTGACTCCAACGCAAGAATTTTAGACTTTTTAAAATATTGGGGTTTTTTTTTATATTTTGATGAGTATAACATCTACTTTAGTGCCAGTTATTTGTTTCATGTGAGCAGGTCCAGTAATTACAGAGAAATGAACCATAAACCAGGTCAACACATCTGCATTTTGACAGTTCAAGGATTGTCACTACATTTGCAATTTGTGTTTTAATAATGAGATTCTGTTCAAAGTTTACATTTCAAACACGTTCAGTATATAGTATATATAATGCGTCAAGGGAAAAGTAGAAAATAAAACACAAAAAACAAAACAATATACATACATACACACACATACAGTACAGTATATATATATATATATATATATATATATATATATATATATATATATATATACATATATATATATATATATCATATAAGACATTAAATACAGTAATACTGAGTGTGAACGCTTCCATTGTTATGTTCAAAAGGGAGTGGGATGAAGTGTGACCTTACAGGCTCCCATCCCTCTAACTGTAGTCCAGAAGAAGTGACAGAAAGACTGAAATCTGGACTGACAAATGAATACAAGAATCACATTTCAGAATATCTGAACAGATTGAAATGACAGGGTTAGACATTTTTGTTTTATGCAGGACATTTTGTTGATTGTGGAGGAAATTATGATACTTGAAAATTTTAATTGCAGCCCAGACAATAGAATTCTATTCTCCGGTGCATCTCATCATGAAATAAGTCTATAATAAAGGTTTGTTGGTTAGTAGTTAATAGTAGTTAGTAAAACAATCATTTCCATTATTTTATGACTTAACACCTCTTAGTTACTTTAAATATTGCCTTAAACTTAAGCCTTAAACATTAAGAGATGGTTTAGTGAAATCCATTCTTAAATCCATCCATCCATTTTCGTCCGCTTATCTGGGGTCGGGTCGCGGGGGCAGCAGCCTAAGCAGGGACTCCCAGACTTCCTTCACCCCAGACACGTCCTCCAGCTCCTCCATTCTTAAATCAAAATGTCTAATTAATGCAACACTGACTGACTTTCAGTCCAAATTATAACTATTGACAATAACACGTGCATTTTGTCTACATTTATTTTAATACAATTGTGTACAGTTTTCTGTGCTGTATTTCTAAAGATCCCCCAATATTTTAAGATATATACATATATATAGTTTTATATAGTTATGGTTAAATTATATTACAGTATATTTATTTTTAATGGTTAGTGAGTTACATTTACTTAAGTAACTTTTTTTTTTTTTTTATGTACTTTTCTCGCAGTATACTTATACTTCAACTGGAGTAAAATTTTGCAACTGAAGAAACAATGCTCTTACTTGAGTGAAGTTGCGGCTATTCTTCCCACTAAGAGTAAGTCTGAAGTGATAAAAACTTTATGTGACAATCTGAAATGATCTGAACATTTGTGTTTCTTTCAGTGCTCCTTCAGGACTTAGTTTGTCTCATTTTTGTGTCTGTCATTTGAAAATATCATGTTTTGTTCTTTTACTTTGTCCTTCACATTCACTTCAAATGATAAATGAGATGTTAGGTCCCAACCATTATTCTTTAAGTTACTTTCTATAGTAGGAGTTTTCCCAAATACTTTTTTACTCTTGAGTAATTTGTTGGTACTTCTACTTGAACATTATTACTTTGTAGTAAGGTTATTCTTACTTGAGTACACTTTTGCCCTCCCTCTCTCTCTGTGTTGTGTTGATTTGATATTTTAAACATATAAATGTGTATTTGTAGTGACAGACTTCCACCGCACGGGGCGCTCTTCTCCGTGGCCTTTGTTGACATACGTCACTAAAGCGCGACAGAAAATCAGCGCTCGTTTTTTCTTCCTTCGGTTCATCTTTTTCCAAATAAACCTGAAAAATGTGGCCAAACAGAGTCACTTTTCACACTTAAAAGGGTAAGTAGATGTGATTACAATCCAATCGTACATTTAAAGTAGATTTTCTGTCGTTGTGAACTACAATTAATCAAAACAGACTGAAATGTTATGTGATCTGAAAAAAACTGTCCCTTTCTGCAGAGATTTTGTGCAAATAATTCACGTTATTTTATAAAGTCGCTTTGGCAAAGTGTGTATTTTGCTAATTGCATAAGGAAGGCTAAACGTCTAAGGTGAAAAAGCTGAAATCTGTGAGTTTTTTTTTGCTTTGTCTGAGTGTCTCGGTTTTAATTTATGCCTAATCCAACATCACAATAAACGTGTCCATTACACACGTTTGACTCGGCTAAGTTTTGTAGCTCTGATAGTAGAAGAAAAAAGAAACGGAATCACAAACATGACATTATTTACTTTAAATCAGAAACTATTTTGCTGATTGTAAAATGTCTGTGTCCCAGATGAGGACTGATAAATAGATCCACTTTTACTTCCCCCGCTCCTTTTAGCCCTCTTCCTTTTAGCCCTCTTCCTTTTAGCCCTCTTCCTTTTAGCCCTCTTCCTTTTAGAGCTGTTCTCACTCTGTTCCTTCACCATGAGGATTATTTTAAGCTGCATTTTCATTCACTCACGTTTGTTTGAGTTTTCGTGTATTGTTTTTTGTGTTTAAGGCTTAAGTGCTCTTAGGGGGGATTTAAAAACAGGAATTCTATCTCCCCCCTCTGCTCTGAACTTCCTTTACATTTATTCAAGTTCAAACCATTTTTCAACAATAAAAACATGTAAATGAAAATCTGTTGCTTGTGGCAGCGATTCACTGTGAAATCAGTTGTGTAGTTTTGAATAAGAATCATGAGTCAACATTGTGGTTTTACAATGAACAGAATGTAAAATATCTACATGTGTTTCATTTGATAATGATCCAAATCCCTGAGAAAAGCATAAAGTGTTTTCTTTAAACACAATATTGCATAAGATCATAATATTAGGCAGAATTGACTCTCGTGAGTTAGGTCATGTCATTCACACATGTTTGAGTAACTTGTATATACATCTCCAAAGCTCTTAAGTTCTCTGTTCCACCTTGTGATGTCATGTAGTGGTAGTTTTCAAATGAATAGCTACTAGGGGCTTGCAAATATATTGAAATATTCTACCGTTTAATGTGATGATACAGTATCAATATCGTGGGCTACTGTACCGATACATCGCCAAGAGTATTTTTTTATATATTATTTTACACAATTATTTTGTTACAACTACAGTTTTGTTGCTTGTTTAAGTGGAAGGAAACTCATAACTAACATATTTGACTGAGTTTTGATGATTAAAATGTTTGTGTTTCATATGAACTTTGCACAAGAAAGACAAAGACTTTTAGTATCACAGACATGATTTAGCCTTTATTTTTTATTGAACTATATCGAATTGATTTGAAATATATCACATCAAAGCAAAAGTGCACTGTATGCATCTGCAGTACATACAGAACACTGCTTGTATCGTATCATGGCCTGTGTATCGATGTGTGTATCGTATCAACGACTTCTAAATGATACCCAACCCTAATAACTCCCCTTTCTTCTTTATTCAGTAGAGTTTGACAATTCCTATTAATATATTAATATATCATTATTATTATTATTAATAGCATCCAGAACGCATACAAAGCAGACAATGAAGCCTGAATTAAATAAATAAGGAATAAAATCAAACTAAAACCAGTTAAAGGAAGTCCAACTTATAAAAATTTGTTTTAAGAAGTGATTTAAAAGATGATAGTGATGGTGCGAGCCTTATCTCCTCGGGCAGGTCCTTTCAAAGCCGAGGTGCCTGGTCCGGAGCCTGGACTTTGGAACAGCCACAGGGACCTGCCTGAGGATCTGCGGCTGTGGGAGGCTTGTACAGGGTTAAAAGTTCTGAAATGCAACATGGTGCAAGACCTAAACAAGCTTTAAAAGTGAAAAGTAAAATCTTCTTGAATTAAATTCTAAAACACGCAGGCTTCTCAGGAAATAAACATGTAAGAAATAATGAAAATGTTATTAAAAGAGCTGTCTCTTGTCTCCTGCAGTTGTCTCGTGGTGTTCTTCGTGATGAGGATTCTTCTGCAGGGTCCCAGTTACGCCCCGAGCCTCCTCTCCGAGCTCAACCGCCTCCGCCTGTCACGACGCTTGTGTGACGTCCTCCTGCAAGTCGGAAACCGCAAATTCGCCGCTCACCGGGCCATTCTCTCGTGCGCTGGGGCCTATTTCTATAACCTGTTTGCTACCACTGCAGACTCCCCATCCTCTACTACTGCTACTGCCTTCTCACTGGAGTTCATCTCTCCTTCTAATTTTGAAAAAGTGCTCACGTTCATTTACACGGGCGAGATTTTGATAGACCTAATCGATGTAGGTGTACTTTATGAACTAGCTGAAAGATTAGGCATTACTGAATTGGTGAGAGCGTGTCACGCAACATTTCCAGACTTACAAACTTCAAAAAATTGCAAAAATAGTCCAGCGGATTTGATTCCCTCTGGCGTTGTTCCCAATAACGATGCTAACCTCGCTAGTGAATTTCCCTGCTCTTCGGCTGCCTCTTGCTCGTCTCTGTCCTCCTCCGCTCCAACACCTGCTTCATTTTCGCCTCCTTCTCAACCAAGACAAGCCAGGAGCAACTCTGAAACTTCAAACTTGAATTTAAAATCGGAAAATATCCAATCAATCGCAAACTACGGGCAAATTTTAGTAGAATCGGAGCATCAGCAGCTCCCACTAAGCAGCACTGTAGCTGTTCATAATGATAAATCCACATTGTCTCTAGGTTCAGCACTTCAACTCAAAACTGAGCAGGACTTTTCCGTGGAAGACGAGAGGAGAGATGAGCACATTCAGGCCAAAATACAGACAGGAGGCGAGCCGTCTCTGGTCGGGGTGGATGGAGGATTGCAGGTGGTGTCGGTGCAGGGTGGAGAGGTGGACAGAGACAGTAGGCTGTTCGTTCAATCTGTAGAGGGCGCCGGAGGAGGAGGAGGAGAGGAGGGCGAATCTGAGGAGAACAAAAATGGAATCATGGATGAACCGGAGGAGGACGAACAGTGGAGACACCTCGCAGGTAGTGGCACAAATCAGGATGTTAAATTACAATTACTGTGAGGAAAAATGAGCAATTTCATAATCTATTGTTGATATTCTACTGCCAAACAGGACTGGGTTTAACAAAAGATCATGTCCTTGTAATTGCAATACTCTCTTAACGAAAAATTACAATAATAATAAAAATAGGCACACATAATAATTGTTGATTAATATTTTGTCTTGTAACATATTGGGATTTTGTAGATTTGTGTGTCTGACCAAATGTTAATGTTATTTTTTTAAAAGAAGAGCTCTACAACCAATCCTCCAAACTATTAGTTCTTAATCTGCACCACTTGTAGTAGTTTCTTTAACACAGATGTGATCACATATTGGCTTTCGGTGAGTTTTGACGTTGCTACAGTCATGATTCTTTCTCTCTGACAGGAGACATCATTGAACTGAGCGATGATGAAAACTACTTAGAGGAGAAAGATGAAGAGGAGGACGACGACCTGGTCTGCATCGAGAACGGAGTCAATCCCTGTGCACAGGTAAAGGTCAAAGTTCAGTTGGTTCTGATCATGTGATGTCATGAAAGAGTCTGTAGTTTTAAAGTGAGCTGGAGGACAGGTGTGATTCAGGCGAGAATTAGCTGCACAGTATATGATTCAAAATGGTTTATGGTTCATGCCTCTGATTACTGGACCTACAGTCCAAACATTCCATGGTCAGTAATGAACTAATGAAGATTTTTTTGTTGTTGTTTTTTTTTCACTTGAACATTGAAATGATTATAATATGAATAGACCTTAGCATTACTCAATCACAAACATACACTTATTGTAAATTGAAAAAACTGCAGTTCTTAAAATATTGGCAGGTTTGTGGAACCCAGTCCATGACAAAAGTGTTGGCACCATAAACTCTATATGTAAATGTAGCAGCAAAAGTAGCGCTCTAGCTGCCACATTCCAGACAGGAACTTCTCGTGCGGCTCTTCTGGCTCCTTCTGACTCTGGCTCCCATTGACTTACATTGGAATAATATAACTGCTGCTGTGAGCCTCGTCATTTTGGTCTTAAAATGTTCGTCTTAGCTTGCTCTACATGATCCTGGTGCCTTTCTTTTGCTGTTTTGTCCATTAAAACAGCCTATTCCTGGCTCAAGACTAACCGCTGTAACTGTGAGCATCACAAGCTTCATTTGAGTGCAGCGAACGCTGTGACTTCTTTCTACAGTCTATGATTGGCACATGTGTCATTTGTGGCTTATTTTATTTCCTATATGGATTATAATTTTAAAGCATTTTTACCAGGAGTGAATCAGGAAGTCATGCTGGTGTGCTGTCTGCATGTCACTAAAACTCTCAAACTCATCATGGTGAATAATTAGGATGCTCAGAATGTGTAAAGTACATGAAGAAGATCTCTGACTGACTCTAACTTTTTCAAATGAACTGAGTTTGTAAAAATCAAGTGGAGCACCTTAACTCCTTGGTCAGTTCCATCACATTTGAGGGCGATAATGGAAACATTTCCATAGTCATTTCCTTTCTTCTGATCCAGGAGTCAGAGCAGCTCCCCTGTAGGATCTGTGGTCTAAACCTGTCCTTGGACCCGGCTGTGGTCCGGTCTCACGCTGAGTCCCATCTCACCGAGGGGGGGCAGTGCGTCGTGTGCGGAGCCGTGTTTCTGGAGCAGGAGAGCGGACTGAACCACGTACTGTCCCATGTGGGGGTGCAGCTGCACGCCTGTGCCATGTGTCAGGCTCACTTCAGCAGCAGAGCCAAAGTCCTGCGCCACCTCAACCTCTCCTCCTCCTCATACTCCATCCCCCCATCTGCTCTGAGCAACAGCGCCCCCCAGAGCTGCGAGCTGCACTGTGCACAGTGCAACAAGTCTGTCAGCAGAGACTTCAAGGTGAGTGCATCCACTTCTTTATATATTTGTAAGTTTATTTTATTAATAATTCAAAACAAGAAGATGATGTGCTCAATGCAGATCACATCACTCAGAACTGATGGAAGTGAGGCTGCTATTCTGCGCCATCAACCCCTCCAACCCCTCACAGCCCTCACACCCCTCACACCACCGACACCACTCCAACCACTCACTCACACCACTCACACCACTCACACCACCGACACCACCGACACCACCGACACCACCGACACCACTCACACCACTCACACCACTCACACCACTCACACCACTCACACCACTCACACCACTCACACCATTCATACAAGGCAATGTGGGTCAAGTGTCTTGCCTAAAGACACAGTTTCTGCCACTGGTGCCCAGTGTGGCACCTGGTATTCCCAGCAATTTCCCATCCAGGTTCTAATCAGGCCCAACCCTGAGATCTGACGAGATCAGGCTTTGACAATAGGTTTTTTTCCACGTCCTCAGTCAAGACTCTTCTCCCACCCGCCTGTGTGAGTGTGAGTGAATGCTGGAGGTGGTCAGAGCGGCTGACCACCTCCAAATCTGAAGTGAATGAATAAATTGTGAAGTGACTTTGATTGTCTGGAAAATTGCTGTATAAGATGAATGCATTATAATAAGTAAAGCTTTTTCAACGTTGACTATCAGCACAGACTTAACATTTGTGGATTTTCCTTTCGGTTTCATATATTTGTATATTTCTAAACCTCTTCTCGTCCACAGAGCGTGAGGGAGCATGCTCTGGCTCACGTCTCCCTTCAGTCCCTCTCCTGTGGTGTTTGCCCCCTCTCTCTCCCCTCCCTCTGCCCCCTGCTCTGGCACGCCCTGTCGCACCTGTCACTACCCGTCTTCACCTGTCCACACTGCGCCCTGTGCTTCGTGGAGCGCCCCCTCCTGGACAGACACATGAGCGCACACGCAGAGGAGGCCGCAGCCAAAGAGAGGGAGAGATCTCTGCTCAGGGCCTTCGCTTTCAGGTGTGTGCGTGTGTGCGTGTGTGTGTATGTGTGTGTGTGTGTGTGTGTGCGTGTGTGCGTGTGTGTGTGTGAAAGGTGTAACTGGTGTGGACTGCTCGAGCACAGCCAATCAGAGCTGTGCGTTTGGTGCTCGCTTCCAGGTTGATGAGGAAAAAAAATATTGTGTTTGCAAATAAAAGTCTGTATCCCAGTTCTAACTATCTATTACAGCATTGATTTCATATTTATTGCCTTATATATGATCTCATATCTTCAAAAACCTGCATTCTTAAGGCCGCCACACATGACAGGAGAATTCGCCCAATTTTGGCTGCGATTTGCTTCTCCCCGAGTTTGGGGAGGTGTGACCCAACTTTGTGTCTTCATATGCAATTTTGAAACTGTTGCACTCCTCGTGTGTGTGTTTGTGTGTGTGAGACTCTGAGCTGCTCTGTAGCAGCTGCAGCATCTCATCCACATTATCCTTAGCATTTGTTCTCCCCAATAATGACATCTATTCCACAAAACCACGCTGTTCTTTAAAAGTAAAAAGGTGAGTGTAGTTCCTCATGTGTGTGTGTTTCCATCCACACAGTGCACGGATTGAGATGAAGCTGCAGATTCACCATAAGGTCTCTGCTTCCCCGGGACTTTATGTCCAATCTTTTATGCTTTAAAAATCCTGTATCTGAAGTTTTGCACCACATTTCACAAATAATAATAACACAGGAAACAGCTGATGCAAGGTTTGTTTACAGCTTTAGCCTGTGGTCTGCAGTCATATCACACTGAAGTCTTTGCGAGCGGAGATTTAAAATCTCGTAAGATTCTCTTCTTGTCTGTGATGTGCGCTTTTTGCCACAGGTTTAAAAAAAAGTTTAAGACTGAAAAATCCTGTAATGCAGGGGTGTCAAACTCGAGGCCTGGGCAGAATGATATTTTGCGGCCTCCTACATTTATGTCAAAGTTTATTATCAGTGTGGCCTGCAGTTTTTCCTTTTTACATCTTACATTGCAAACTCAACAGTTGTGAACCTGTGAGTCTAGGTGGATCAGTTTGTGCATGTACATGTGCACAGAAGATGCTACTGAAACAACTCACACTTGCTAGTACATGTGCGTCTGTTTGCACCCTGCACCATTTCGCTCCCGCAGCCGTCATATCAAGAGCAAAAAGTATGACAAGCCTTGCCTACAGCACGAGGGAGGTGCTCATTCAGAAGTGAGGGACATTTGGCGGTGATAAGTAATAAAAAAAACATCACTGACAGCCTGTTTGCTCAGTGCAGCCACTTCTCTGGGTGGAATTGGCTGGCAACGCAAAATATTTGAATACTTGAAACCCTATTTTGTTGAACGTCCTTCTTGATGCGGCTCAGCCTCACCCACACTCTAACAACCGTGGGCCCCAAGTAATTTGAGTTAGAGACCCCTGCTGTAGAGTATGACCTGTACTTTTCCTCTTTGCTTGTGTGGAGATGGTTATATTTAATACAAATCTTCCACCAGAAAAAGTAGTTGTAAACCTCCCCACCAGTAAACCTGCATAGATCACCTTTAAGACACATGCTACTAAAATGCAGATGTGTTTGAATTGGCGAAAAACCAGCCCACCACTCATCTGTAAATCTATAAATGGGTTCAGTCAAATGGTAATGGAGGGAAACAGGGGCAGATTTTTGACATTCAAATGTGTCTAATTCAGAAACTAGAGGGACTATTGAAATAAGTAAAGTATCAGAATGTAGGAAAGAGTTACACTCCAACAGGGTCAAGTTAAACCTGTGATATTCTTTCAAGTTGTTAACAAAAAATTTAAAAACTCATGTCGGTAACGGAGGGAATGAAATATGCAGCACTTTTTGGGCAATAAATCCAAACAGTGATAACTCTTGGTTCTCACTTACCATATCCTTAACAAACTGGTTTGAATATTTGCTTCATATAGTTTTCTACCATATGGTACAAGATTAGGTTGAAAAACCTCTTACTTTTTGAGTCATGAGATTTTTTTATTAAGAAAGGTCATGGTAACGGAGGGAAAAGTAACGGAGGGAAAATTGTGCAAACAAGTAGAAGGTGCAGGATTTTACATCATTTGTCGCTTTTTTCTTTCAGATACTTTAATATTACTTCAAAATGAAAGGAAACTATTTCTGTAAAATGTCAGTTCTTCCAAGCAAATTTGTATCATTTTAAATAAATATTTTTTTTTAAATCCTGTACCTTCATCAACAGTTCAAAGATGGAATAACACAAGATATGATGAAATACATCCATTTATTGACATGATTTGCAGGTCTTTGTAATTTGGGAAATAATTTTTGTTCCATGTTTCATACATGGTCTGTTTAAAACATATGGAACTTTAGAACCAAAAAATGGTACAGAAAAAAGGTCAACAGTTTCATAAACTAGAGTACATATGTATCTGTTCAATACATTTTTATATCAGATGCATTCACTTGAATTTTCGGCCTTGCTGTTTACTTCTGCTTGACCAGGCCCAAATGTAAAATTATTTCATTCAGTTTCAAAACATTTCAGATTTTTTTTTATTTTTTCGTTCCAGGTCCAATGGGAGCTTGTCCAGTGGATCTGAGGAGCTGCGTTGTCCGTTTTGCCCTCAAACATTCCGCTCCTCTTCATCTTTCCACTCCCACCTCAACACCCACTCCACAGACCCCCCGTCTTCCAGCGTGGGTACTGCAGGCTTACTGGGCAAACGCAAGTCTGACTCCAGTCCCAACGGCCCCGCACCTTCTCTGTCCTCTCTACGCGATATCGGAGAGCTGTTTAAAATGAGCAACACTAACTTCAATTACAGCGCCCCCAACAAAACCTTACCCGGGCTTCCACTCGGACTTGGTTCTAGCATGTCTTTTGGTTCTGCTCCTGGACAGGACGCGGCAGATTTCGGGGCAGCAAAAGCGAAGTGGTACCGCTGTCGATATTGTGGTAAATCTTTCGCGCATTCTGGAGAGTTCACGTATCATTTGCGAATCCACACGGGGGAGAAGCCGTACCAGTGTAAAGTGTGTTTGCGTTTTTTCCGAGGCCGATCGACGATGATTTGTCATTTGAAAACGCACGCCGGGGCCCTCATGTATCGCTGTACTATCTGTGGACTGTTTTTCTCCACACTTAAAATGGTTTCTTCTCACATGGAGTTACACAAAGACCACCTCCCTCCAGATTTCAACATCGAACAGACTTTTATGTACAACGACCATTCCAAGGAACCGCTGCCCCCTGCTGACACATGAAGAGCAGCGTAATGGATTTAGGACGATGTACTGTTTTGGCGTGAAGGTGCTGTACCTGATTTTTGTTGTGTGAAAAGCAAAACTAGTTCATTTGAAAAAGTTTGCAGTGGTCCAGTTCTTTTTTACTTACCTTCTGCATCCAGAGCATCCTCGTTATTCACTGTGATGACTTTATGAGCACGTTTCACAACTTTTCACACGTGGAGTCACTCTATGGCGGAGTGAGCGACCTTTACAAAACCAAAATTCCAGAGAGCTACTTACTTTTGTGGTCGCAGGAAATAAAGTTTACATAAGAGCCATGGCAAGACTTGAGGTACAGTTAGATGAAACATAAAACATGAACCATTATTTATTTTATCTATAGTTTATTTTATATATTTATGAGAGTGCACAAAGTCAGGCATCAAAATGATAGATTTACAATGATAACAGGCATTTAATTCATCAAATTTGAGTTTTTCACGACAATACTCGTATTTCAGAAAGCTCCCGAGCTCCAGGTTGGACACCCCTGCTCTCTGCCGTCACAGTAATAACAACAGCTAACATACTAACAGCGTGACTGGCCTTACTTCCTGGTTCGCAGATGATAAAAACACTTTATAATTGCATGCAGACTGGACACAATGGATTTATTTGGACCTCAAGAGCTGCTTATATAAAATACAGTATCTGTAGTGGGACAAGACATTTCTGACTTAATTATTTGTAAAAAGTCTGGTACAGCCCCCTTTAACGTCGCAGGGCAGTTTTTAACTTTAAGCAGAAGAGCCCCAAAGCTTTGTAAAAATCCATACAATAAATGAGTTAAATTGACTTCAAAATATGTAAATTCATTTGGACAAGTTTAGGTTTCTTTATATATTGGACTCACATAATTAGTTTTGTTGACATTTCACTTAGTATAAGATAACTAATTGAGATTTATGAGATTTTCTGTTAATTTATGCGAATTGCAAAATCACAGGAGAGTTGTTTAAAATGAGCAGCTCTAGCTTCTATTACAACTCACCCAACCAAACTTGACCTGACTTCCCTATGAGATTTTCTGCACATTTTATCATAGGGCCTCAAAAAGCTAAAACCTGCCCTGGATCTCCCAGTGTCAAATGTTGATGTTTCTTCTTATTTGAAGTATATTAAGAAAACCAAGACTGTGACACAATGAACTAGTATTTTTCAACTTGTCTGATTTGAAGTTGTCTTTAAATAAGATATTGTTTATATAATAGTGGTACAATAATAGAGATAGACCGATATATATGGCCAATATTTGGACTTTCCACCTTAGATCTGTAGACTGTTATGTAGTTTTGGCTGAGCAGCTGATTAAAGAGGACACACTATGCTTTATTAGAACATGAAATGTGACGGATAACTGCACAAAACATGACTGCACAACTCTCTTAAAGGTTTGTGGTAAAACAGGGCCGTGGGTGAGGTTGGACTTAACTTAAAGGACAGAATCTTGGGAAAATAATCAAAACCCACCCTATAGATCCCACGACATCACCTGTCCTCAGACGTGCTCTCCTGTCCGGCGGTGGTGCTGTGCAGGAGGTGCAGGGAGTCCTCCAGGACGGACAAGAACTTGTTTAGGGCCCTCTCCTCAGCCACAGATGTGACTGAGTCAAGCGCTGTAGACAGTGTGAAAACTCAAGAAAGAAAACAAAATGGACTGAAACTACATATTTTCAGGAGCTGTTTAGGTGTTTAATTTTCAACAAAAAGGTCAGAGTGAGAGGGAGCGAGAGCTTAGGACTACTTGTTTTTTGAGAGGGACTTGTTTAAAAGCACAAATCATCTCATCTGTTCTAGTGCAGTCAACTTTCTCCAAATTCAAAAAGTTTATTGTTAAATTTCCATATGAACATATGAAAAATTTAAATTATGTTCTCACTCTCAATCTTCTAAATTAAACAATAATAAAATAAAAGGAAAAGTCTAAAGTTCTTCTTTAGGGAGACACAGATTCCTGGCTGCCTGGATGAAATTGTTAGTGAATCTGGTGATGCGGAAATGTTCTGGTGATGCTAGAGGTTCCTGGCACCAGTGATCTTCGTGTCTGTGTTGACTCTGCGGGGCTGCAGGGCTCTCCTGTCGTGGTCAGTGCAGCTTCAGCCCCACACAGTGATGCAGCTGAAAGGATGCTCTCAGTGGTTCCTCTGTAGAATGTGTTCATGAGTTTCCACAGGAAGTAGGGGTGCTGCTCGACTTTCTTCACTTGTGATGCAGTGTTGGTCCAGGAGAGCTCCTCACTGATCTAGTTTAGTGCTGCTCACTTTCTCCACAGCAGCATCGTTGATGGTCAGTGGCGAGTGTTGGTTGTGGCCTGTCTGGAAGTCGACAACCATCTCCTTACTCTTGCTGATGTTCAGCTGGAGGTTGTTTTGTCTGCACCATGTGGTCAGAAGGTCGACCTCTTTCCTGTAGTGAGTCTCGTCGCCTTTGGTGATGAGACCCACCACAGTTGTGTTGTTCATGAACTTCACAAGGTGGTTGGTGCTGTAGGTTGTTGTGCAGTCATGTGTCATCAGGGTGAAGAGCAGAGCACGCAGGTTTCTCGTCAGATTGTGTGAAAACAAAACTCAGAATAAAGCTTCTGACAGTAGTGCCTTCGGTTACCTTCACACCTCCAGGGAATATTAATGATATCAGTTGAAAAGTACCAATATATTGTCCCCAAAATATCGGCAGAGCTTATCGGCCATGAAAAACCCTGTATCGGTGGATCTCTAGTTTATATTCTATTATAATTCCATGTGAAATCATAACTTGAACTTTTTAACTTTGAACTTTTCATAAGAAGTGCTTCTCGTGGACCGTAAACTGTTCCGTACATTTAGACCAATAGAATGTAGTTAGTCTTACTCTATAATCTGTACAATACTGTTCAGACTCTTTATCGTTGTGTGTCAGTGTCGCCACTTGGGGACGCTGTTTTCTGTCTTTAATAACAGGAGGAGGAGTTGGTTGGTTGTTGACTGAAATCTGTTACCTCTATTTAATGATTACCACATTGAAACTGTAAAGTAGCACCGTTGTAGCATAGAACTTTTATATTTAATTTTTAACACAATCTTGTTTTGGACACATTTTTGTAACAGACTTTTATTTATTTTATTTACAAAGACTGTAAGCTTTAAATGATATGTGCTTTTTGAGGGCTCACAATCAGAATATGAGGCGACATCCACATTGTGCACAAACCTTTCTGATCCTAAAAGTTAAAACAATAAAGGTGCACTGTGTAAGTTCTGGTGGGACTTCTGCTACATGCTGGTCTGCACAGAGATGTTATTGCTTTGCTAGGAACGTTCCATAATATGGCATTAATTGTATCTGTTGTTTATTTATTCAATTACAGGTGTTTTATTTTATTTATTTGGGGCGACGGTAGTTCAGTTGGTTGCAGGTCGACATAAACATCATTGGTTGAGCAGTCAGATCCACTGACCCACAGGTTGGTGGTGTGATTCCAGCTCCCACAGATGAATGCTGTCGTTGTGTCCTTGAGCCAGACTTAACCCCCCTTGCCCCTCGTGTCTGTGTATGAGTGAGTGTGTGAATGTGTGAGTGGTTCCTTGGTGTAAACCTTAATGCCATACTGTGGAGCATTCCTGGCAAAGATGGAGAAAATATCTATATGTGTCTATGATTATTTTGACAGGTATTTGGTATTTGATCAAACTGAATATGTCTGAAAGTGTCTCTCGTACTCTGATTCCCAGCCCTTGTGTGATTTGTTTGTATTTTGTATTACTACAGTATGATATAAAACTTCAGACAATGATTAAAGTGTTGTGCCTTTACAAATATTTGCTCTGTTATTCTTTTTTGCTGTTTCTCTTTCAAACTTCAGCATCATATCAACAACAAAATCCAACACTTGACACAATTTTTATTTATTCATACGTAAGTAATGAAATACTGCAGCTACTTCAAATCTGGTCAAATATGTATGTAAATAAACATGGACAAAATAGTTGGTTCTCTCTGGCAATGAAAGAAAAATCAACAATTATCACTGAAATAACTTGAAACTGATAAAAGCAATAATGAATAAAAAAAATACTGAAAATTGTCCAATGAAAATCAAACATTGTTTTTCACCTGTGGTTCAACAGAATCAATTAAAAAAAACAAAATAATGAAACTGTCCTGGACAAAATGATGTTTCCCTTAACTTAATATTTTGTTACACAACCTTTTGAGACAAACTCTGCAAACAAATGATTTCTGTAACTGTCAATGAGACTTCTGCTCTGGTCAACTGGTATTTTGACCCACTCCACGTGAGCAAACTGTTCTTGTTGTCTCAGGTTTGAAGGTTCCTTCTCCAGACGCATGTTTCAGCTCATTTCACAGATGTTCAGTAGAAGTGAGATCTGGGCTCACAGAAGAACATTCCAGAACAGTCCAGTGTTTTGTTCTTAGTCATTCTTATGTGTTTTTATCTGTGTGTTTTTATGGGTCATTATCCTGTTGGAAGAACCATGACCTACGACTGAGACAAAGCTTTCTGACAACACATTTTGTTCCAAAATATCTTAATAGTTTTGAGATTTCATTGTACCTTGCACAGATTCAAGACGCCCTGTGGCAGACGCAGCAAAACAGCCCCAGAACAAAACCAAACCTCCTCCATGTTTCACAGTGGGGACAGAGTTCTTTTCTTGGTCTGCTTCATTTTTGCATCTGTGAACATAGAGCTGATGTGTCTTGCCAAAGAGCTTCAGTTTTGTCTCATCTGTCCAAAGAACATTCACCCAGAAGCTTTGTGGTTTGTCAATCTGCACTGAGACAAATTCCAGTCTCATTTTTTTATGATTTGCTCTCAGCAGTGGTGTCCTCACATGAAGTCCACGTTGGCTCAAACACTGATGGATGGTGTGATCTGACACTGATGTACTTTGTCCTTCAAGTTCACATTTCATTTGTTTGGAGGTTGTTCTGGGCTCTTTGGTTCCATTCGTATGATCCATCTCTTTGTCATCATTTTCCTCTTGCAGTCATGTTCAGGGAGGTTGGCTTCAGTCTTGTGAACCTTAAACTTGTGAAGAACATGTGTAACTGTAATCACAGGAACATCAAGCTGCTTGGAGATGATCTTATTGTCTTTATCTTTAACCTGCTTGTCTCTCATGTTCTTTCTAGTCTCCTGACACAGTTCTCTTCTTCTCTTTCTCTGGTCCATGTTCAGTGTTGTGTCCATCATGTCTCCAAACAGCACAATGACACATGTCGCCCTTTAAACAGACAGACTGACTGAAGACAAGTTTGAAGAACCTGTGATGCAAATTAGAGACACACTGAAGTTTAACATGTCCCTATTGTCCAATTATTTACAATCTTTTCTAGAGGAACATCATTTTTGTCCAGGTCAGTTTCATTAGTTTGTTTTTTAATTATTCTGTTGAACAACAATTCAAAAACAGTGTCTGATTTTCATTGGTTATTTTTCAGGAGTTTTTTATTTATTATTGCTTTTCTCAGTTTTAAGTTATTTCACTGACCATTGTTGATTTTTCTTTCATTACCAGAGGGGTACCAACAATTTTGTCCATGTCTGTACAGATAAGTTTAAAGCCATACTGTGGAACATTTTCAGGGATGATGTCAACTTGAATTTATTCTAACTCCTGTATTTATTTTTACAGTGTAAAAATCTTCTCCAAACACACAAAGCTCCTGTCTCATCAGAACTCCATGATGATTGAGCAGATTCTGGTAAAGTACCGTTGTGCACGTGTTTCCGGGGGCTACGACCTCTGACCTCCGCTTGGCCCCAGCCTCTTCCTGGTATTGTTTAGTTGGGGTCGTCTTTCCTCTGTCCCCTTTGGCCTGTCCTGACGCTGCACTGATACAAATGTAATAAAGATAAGACGTGTTCATGGCCAGCAAAGGAAAGCACTCTGGAAGTACACACACAAGCTGTATTGAAACTAGATACTCATGTGAGCAGGTATCCATACTAAAACACATGAAGCTGCCCTGAATGTTTTTAGAATGATGCAGAGCTGGATCAGAACAGAAGACACATAGACTAGTAAACACACATGGAGCAACATGAACCTACTGCACCACTGACAACTACACCCATGTTAGAAAGTACTACCATTTAATAGTGAAAATCACATTTAATTGTGTCAAGAGTGTTTTTTTTTTTTATTATCATGGTTCTGTATGAGTATGGAGTGTATTTCTCAGTAGGGACAATATTGCAGTTTGCTTTACTGTGACACTCACAAGTCAAAACTTCTTAAATCAAATTTGATTGAATAAATGTAATTTAATATTTTTTACATTTTCAGTGTTGTTTTTTGTTTTTTAATATTCACATTAAAAGACCCATATGAGGCTATTTCCTGATCTCTGTTCTAATGTAGTTTCCTCATCACACACAGACCTGGAGTTTAGTCTGAGTTTTTCAAACTGAAAACACTTCAATTCACCTGGTGATGTCATGTGGCAATACAGGAAGTGTTCCAACTCCATACACCTTCTCTAAAATCATGTGGATAATTTCAGCCCTGGAATTACCAATCTTTACTGAAGTAAAGGTAAAAGGAGCTGTTCACAGGAAAACTAATGGTTCATGACATCACAAGGTGGAACAGAGCATTGGAAATGTTTACAGAGTATAAACGATTACTCAAGCATGTGTGAATGAAACAAAACACAACTCCAGGTCTGTTTTTGGTGAGGTAACATTGCAAAAAGCTCACAAAAGTCCAGTTTGTTTAATATATTATAACTTCTAGAAAATAACTTTTGACAGTGTTGACAAGATACAATTATTCATTTTGCTTTACAGTAATTTGAACTAATTAAAACTAATTAGAGTTGCATTATTTCAAGTGCATTTTCCTTACTTTGGTGCCAGATATTTTGATTCAAAAAGGCATAAAAATGATACATTGAGACCCCTCAGAAAATCTCAAAACTGAAAACCAAATCATCTCAATCCAAGATTTTGAATTTGAAATCATTTGAACTCACTGTCCTAAAGCAGCAATCAACTCCCAGAATATTGCAAAACTATGTGACATTTTTATTTCTTCATATGAACAGAAATAAAACAGTAAATGGCATAAGTTTGAATACACAGCTCTTATCAGTCACAAGACATCCCTTTGTTTATTGGTGGTGTGCCAGTCTTCCTCTGAAGCCGTCCTGAGGGAGGTCAGCATCCAGGAAACTCAAATGTGAAATATTTCCGACTTCAGCTTCGGCCCAGATACAAAAAACAGGAAGACTTAGAATTATGGCAGGAAAGAGTTACCGTGGAGTTACATAAAAGAATACGCATCAGGAGTTCTCGTGTTTTGAGATGATGGCAGGTCAAGGTCAGGTTAAAGGTGCACTATGGAAATGGTGTTTCTCGTGCAGGTGGGAGGAGCCTCTCAGTGGACATGTACAGACATGAAAACAGCCAAAACATGTGTGACATAAGCTCTGCTATCAGACATTAGCGCGTTTGCAAATATTCTGGTGCAGACTCAAGCCCCGCCCACCTGTTCTTCCACTTCTGCAGCCCTCCCACCACGAGTGCAGACGTGTGTGTGAGGCCAGAAAACTGGGACGCTGCAATATTGTGTTAGCCAAAATAATATTCACAAGTGAACAAAAGTGCAGTGGTTTAGAATTTAGCATCTTAAAATCTTAACAAAAATTCTATGATGTTATTGCTTTACCTAGAACGTGCGAACGTATCGTCTCCATGGAGACAAGAATCATCTCCATGTCATGGATTGGGACACATACAAAAGATACAAGATCATTGAAATCAGGAAGCGGGGCCCACGGACCATCAACTGAGACAAGGGGGCGTTCACCTCAGCTCACACATGGGACTCACTTCTCCAGACACCACCGTGCAGAGAGTGTGGTCAGTCTAACAGATCTGCCAGATCCATCACACTGACGTCACCTGAACACGTCGGCAGTGACACCTGTGACCAAAGTGAAGTGCTGCCGCCGAAACATGTCCAGGAAATAAGCTATTGAGCTTTTGACAATTGTCACAGAAGAAAACACAACATTGTTATATATTAATCAAAATTCATTTTCAAAATATAAAGCAGATGATGCTACCAGGCCCAGTTCCAGGTCAGATCTATGCAGAGGCGACCACACTCACAGTAAGACGTTTTTAAAGTGATTTCCTGAGCAATAAAAACACCTGTAATAGAATAAGTGCAAGACAGACTTTCAAACAGAATGGAAATGGCTCACTTTGGAACATTTCCTGCTGATACTTTGCAGTAACTTCACACTGGGGGGTTCTGCATGTGTGTTTATGGTGGCATGTTCAGTATTTTCCATGGTGACACAATGCTCGTTGGCAAACTCTGTCCAAACATTTTTAAATTTGTCTGATCAATCAAGAAAAATTACAAAATGTATTTAAAGGTCCTAAATTATACAAAATGTGTTCTGGTGATTTTAAAGCCGTGTTATAATGTTGTTACCTCATTAGCACGAGGGGGCAATGATCCAAATGATTCTAGTGAAGGTGTATAGAGTTTAAAAACACAGTGGAGCACTTCCTGTATTACCACATGACATCACAAGGTGGAAGCGTTTTCTATCTGAGAGAAGAACTCAGCCTAAATCTGCAGGGTTTGTGTGTTAAACGGGTGAATGAGGTTCTTTTACACGTTTCATTGAAACCAGAAGCTCTTAGTTGGGCTTGTTTTTCATTGGTGTGAAACCTTCAGTCACACTCGGATCTGCATTAAACCACTAAATCACTGAGACTGCCTCTTTTTTGAGCTCTTGGACCGCTTGACCAAATGCCAAACTCTGATACAGTAGGTCCAAACAAAATGTGAGGATACCAATTATTTCATTTCCTGTTTGTGGTGAGTGAAGAAGACATGAGGCAAACCTCGAACCGAGGCAAAATGTGGCCCAAGTAACAGTGGATCGATCAAAGGAACCAGAACTGATTTAATGAGCCATTCACAGGTTCAGTGTAGCGGCCGTGTGGACTTAGACCTGCACAGCTTCATCTTTGAGACAAGCATCTGTTACTGGCAGGATCAACCAGGTCGCCCTGTGTGAACACTGGGTCAGCGGGCCCCCGGTTTGTGAGTCAGAGATTTCCGGGGCAGGGAGAATCTTAGGCAGGATTCAAGAAATGTAAGGTTCATAGAAAAATTAGGGACTGGCCTGTGCCGTCCATACCCCGAGGGGGGGCTCCATGAGAAGGCCACTGAGTGAGACAGTGTGTTTCAGCCTCACTTTTGGTTGGTTTGCAGGTGTGAAAGGACCACACTGGAGTCTATGATACAGAAGAACTATTTTACTGCCTGGTGCAAACCAAATAATCAAACTCGCGGTCTGAAAGCACCCTGAGACAAAACACAACTCCAGGTATGTTTGTAATGAGGAAACAACTTTATAACAGATCAGAGAATGGCATAATATGTGTCCTTTAAACACATTTTCAGGAGCTTGTGATCAGTACGAGAATTGACTGGGCAAAAAGGTGAGTGTGACTAAGTGAAAAATTCTTTAACAAGCCTGTGACTGTAATGTGACTGCAAAGGAGCTCACCTGTTGTAGCTCCAACTAAACCAGCTCTTTCTGGTCAGATCAAAACAAAAGATCAGATTAAAATCTAACTTCAGTCACAGAGCCTCAGACAGAGCAGTGCCTCCAGTTAGCGTTGCCCCCCCAGAGAATGTTGATGACATCAGTTGCAAAGTATGGATACATTTATGAGCCCACATCGGACTGGCTGGTGCTGGCGTTGCTGATCTTGCGCTGCTTCCCTCCCTCGGTTCCTCCTCCTCCTCCGTTGGGCTGCGTCCCTCCTCCCATCTGTCCTTCCACATTCCCTTCTTTGGGGATGTAGCTCACCACTCTGCTGATGAGATTACTGCGAAAACTCTTGCTCAGGAAGTTGTAGAGAATGGGATTGGCCACACAGTGTAACAGAGAAAAGGTCTGGACGATGCTGTAGGTGAAATACATGACTTCGACGGTGTTACAGCTGAACAGAAACGGGTTGATGTCATCAATCATGAGTAAAAACAGGATTAGATGGAACGGAAACCAACACACAACAAAAACCACAGAGTAAACGTGCACCAGCCACACATCTCTCTTGTCCTGGACGTCTGGAGCGTTGCGTACTGCCTTGGCCAGGAGATAATTACACGTTATGATGATCGTTCCAGGAATCAGAAATTGAAAAACTAGAGAAACTATCGTCGTAGAAACAAACCACTCCATAAAGTTCTGTTCAGGAAGCATGTAGCATCCCGGGTCGTCCCACTCCAGAAGATCTACGTGCACGTTCTCCAAAAGTGCGAGGAAGAAGGAAAAGAGCCAGACCGCCGCGCACAGCCACCAACGCCGTCGTCTGTTCACCGGGAATATGGAAGGGAACGTGGGCTTGCTTAGTGACAGGTAGCGCTCTAGAGTCATTAGTGCCAAGAAAAAAGAGCTACTGTACAAGTTGACTGAGTAGACAAGACTGGTGACTTTACAGAGGAAGCGGCCCCACAGCCACACTTGGTTGATGGTCACTTCCAGCATGTAGAACGGGAGGATGAGGATAACCATCAGGTCGGACATGCTGACGTTGAGCAGGCAGAAGAGCACGCCGTTAGCGGAGTGACGTCTGCGCCAGTTGACCCAGAGCACGAGCAGGTTCTCCAGGAGGCCCGCGATGAAGATGAAGAGATAGAGGAGGAAGAGGGCGACGCGGCGGTTGTCCGTGTTCAGTTCAATGGTGCACTCGTACACGAACCAGGGCGTGCCATTGTAGTAGTCCAGAGAGTGGTTGTGCTCTTGAGACTCAATCATGCTGAGAAAAGACACAGAAAAACAAGCATCAGCGTCAGTGAAATCTACTGACGTCCCTCTGGGGGGGCTCTACATGTATCTCTAGCACTGGAATGTTAGGAGTTACCATGGTGACACAATGCACACATTAGCAAACACTGTCAAAAAAGTTTGTTCATCTGAAAACTCAAGAAAAAATACAAAATGGATTTAAAGAGCACATTTTCAGGAGCCTGTGGTCAGTGTGAGTGTCATGGTTCTGTTCAGGAGTTTGATTTTACACTTAAAGGTGAGAGTGACTGACTGAAAAACAAGCTCCACTCTAGACTGGAAACACGTCACCTCCACTTTTATAAACAAGGAAGTACATTTGTACAGACAAGTTTTTTTTTTTAAGATGAAATCAAACATCAGCACCTGAAGAATGATCTGGAACTCTTTGCTCACTCAGTGGGGATAATAGCGAGAAAAGAGGCTTTATGTCTTTTCAGTGAGTTTAAATTAGAGCTTTGAAATTGCCCCTTTTATATGTGAATGTTTTCATTCACTTGTTTTTTTATGCATTTATTTTATTTTCATGTGAACAGTTTACTTTTATAAGGTGCCGTTTTTGTATGTATCTGAAAATCTGCAATAAAAAAAAAAAGTCAAGCGGATTCTGCCATCTTGGCCCCAGCTGATCCCACCAGTTTGAACAGAGCCGTAGATCCCACTAGGTAAAAATCGTATTAATTTAACTCGGTGGGACAGTTCACGTGGACAGTGAAGTTCATCATTGTCACCTCCTAATCCACAGGTACAAGAGCGTTTGAGGAAAAACCAGGGGGGGATATTTGATAAGATTTGAAGCAACATCAGTGGAGTTGAATTAATCACTATGAGGTCCTCGTCCCACTAGATATGAAAATAATTTAGCAAATTTGAGTCAAAATATATGAGCCAACAATTTCTAGAACATAAAAACATTTTACAAACTCCACTCGCCCGTACGTCTGTGGCCAGAGCCCCTGGTGAAGAACTGTTGGTTTATGAGCCTGTGACAGTATTATTATGTAAGACTGACTTATTTACCTGCACAAATCAGCTCACCTGTTGTAGTTCTAGATAAGCCACTTCTTTCAGGTGGATTGTGTTAAATAAATTGTAAATATGACTTCACCTGTCTTGGTAACAAATGTTGGAGCACGATATATCGCTACAGAGAAATACTTATTCCCTTATATCCTTATTCCCCTGTCCCAACAGTTTGATCAAAAACAAATGATTTGTCCCAATTTTATACAAGACATGTCCCTGTTTCTGACCAATCTGACCCTGCCAACACTAAAGGAGGATTACACTGTCATATGTTTAGCTAAAACACAGAAAACTGTGCTTGAAAATGACCATAACTCTAAAAAATGCAGTCAGTTGCACCGACAGACGTTCCCATGACTATGAGTTGAGTGGACAGGGTTACGCTCTTTTCACCATTTTATTTACACCAACCATCCCAACCCGGGTTTGTCCCAGTTTTTAGTCTTGAAAATCATCCTACACCAAGGGTGGGCAATTCTTTTTTTTTCCATTGGGCCACATGAGAAACAGAAAATATTGTGGAGCCAAAATGCTTAACTCAATTCTGCATCATATGAATTGTATTTCTTGATAAAAAGCAGTAAATCAGATTGTTCTGATGAGCTTCTCAGACTGGGAAAGTTTATGTTATGACTAAGCAATGAAAAAATGAGGCTGCTGAACAAAAAATGTCTAAAAATAAAAGCAATGGAGCTTTAGTCCATGCATGAGGTCAAATGATAAAATACTGTATATTTATTTTGTCATTTCAAATGAGCTTAAAGGGGCTGATCAGTCGACCAAAGGGCCGTATGTGGCCCTGGAACTGGACAATGCCCAGGTCTGTCCTACACTATTGAAAAGAAATTTTACACATGCACACGCACACAGACACACAAACTGAGCCCCAAAATATATAATTCCAGCTTTCATATACTGCATGATAAGTTGATATAGTGATTGTGTTGAAAGGTCTGTATTTGACTTATGACAAAAAACCCACACCAAGTCCACACTGAGCTGTGATTGGTGGAAATCAAAGCAGAGTTCATAATGACAGATATTCTGATTGTACAAATGAAAATATCTTGGTGGCAGTAGTTTCTGCTGCAAAGGTGCAAACAGATACAAAGTGTGTTCTCAAAGTACAGAAATCACACAGGTCAAAGGTCAGAGGTCGAGTGAACAAGAACCACCCTCAGAGAAATCTCCTCTCCACAGTGGCCCACACACACATGAAAGCAGCGTACAACTATCGAAACCAGATCAAGTATCAAACAGTTCAAAATCCACACACCAGCAGTGAAACGTTTCCACCCACCTTCTCTTTCAGTGTTTTTGTGTTAAGAAATGTTCAATAAAAATAAAGATTTTGGATTCAGATTCCTCAAAGCAGCCACCCTAACACTAGTATCGAGACTAAATATTGATAACTACTCAGAAAGTATCGATACTAAAAAGGTCCCAGTGACAGGACAGAAACGAACAACTGTAGAACGATCTTGAGCTGTATCAGAACAAGTGTTTTTCATTATCATTGTGGCATTAGAATGAGTGTTAAGTATCAAGTCTCTTCCTTAGTATTGTACTATACTAAAGTGTTTTATGGCTATGTCTATTTTGAAGAATCTGAAATATAAAAACATGTCTGGAGTTATTCCAAAGGTTATGGAGTGTGTTCAGTGTTCAGTGTCTTATCTTCTCCTTGCTTTAAACATTCACTGTGAGAGAGAGAATAATGCAGCTCTGTGGGGCTGTAGGCTGGCTGAGCCTCACTGCAGCTTTCTGTGTTTCAGGACAGAGGATCTGAGTCTGGTCACGCCCATCTTCACCCCACCTAAATCAACTCTGCTTTAGTTAATTGCAAAAATGCTTGGTTTGTGGAAATCATCACTTCACTTCAAACAAAATCAGGTTTTTCCAATTCTGCAGCAGTCATTTTCAGATGTGTTGTAAAAGCAGCTCTCTGGTCTGTGTAAGAGAATTTAAGTCATTTATCCTCCACATACATCTCTCAGTTTAACATTGACTCACAGGAGCTATAGTAACACCAGGATCTTCCCCTGGCAGACCATTGGCCCATCATTATTTAAATTATGGCATATTTCTGTATAACCAGTGTCTACTGGCCTTTATATTCTCACCACAGTTGCTTTATAAAACTCCTCCTTTGGAAGCACTCAGAGATCACACTATGTTCACTTTTGAAATCATACTATGTTGACTTTTCAAGTTCCCCTGGGCCTGTATTATTGATGGTAAATAAACTTCTCCTGCTTAAGACATGTTTTTACCATCCTTTCTTGGACAAGCTGAAAACTTCTACAATAGTCTGAGTTGTGAAAAGTGCTTTTAAACTCATCATGGTGAATAATTAAGATCCTCAAAAAGCAGAAGGTAAATGAGGAAGAGCTGCAAACTGTTTCAAATGAATTTGTTCTGTTTTCCACATGCATAAAACGGTCTTTAAATCAGGGATGACACCTTTAATTGTCCAGATAAACGTGACTTGATTTAAGGTCCCATTTCACAAAATGTACTTTTGTTCACACGTTTGAGTAACTCTTTACTCTTTAGGAAAGTCCTGTTTTCCCCTTGTTTCAGTCCTGGTTTAGTCCTGGTTTGGACCTGCTGTACTTCTAGTCGAGTCACAGTAGAGGAACTACAGTAACTAGTTGTTTCTTGGGGTCAGAAAACTACAACACCTGCACCTGTACCTGCACCTCTATCTGTGGACTTGTACCTGTGTGTTTGGACTCACCTTGTCTCTGAGGCGTTGCTGAAGATGGGGTTTGGTTCTTGAGCTCTGACAGAAGCAGAGGAGGATCAGAGAAGAGCCTTTTTCAGCTGAGGGTCCAAGACTCTGAGTGAAAGAGCCCTCCCAAGCAGTACCAACACAGTAATGACAGGACATCCTCACACACACACACACACACACACACACACACACACACACACACACACACACACACACACACACACACACACACACACACACACACACACACACACACACACACACACACACACACACACACACACACACACACACACACACACACACACACACACTCACACACACTCACACACACACACACACACACACACACACACACACACACACACACACACACACACACACACACACACACACACACACACACACACACACACACACACACAGGGGATGGGGGGAGAGGGACAAATAGAGAGAAAGAGAGGGAGTGAGAGAAAGAGGAGAGGGAAGAGGCTTTGACTTTGAACAATACTTTTTTATTTTAGTCCTACAGAATAACATGGCATACAGTTGTTGTGTCATTGGGCAAGACACTTCACCCTTGCCTCCAGTGTTGAAAAACACAATGCACTGGAGTGTATTCACACAATACACTCCAGGTCTGGTTATTCCTTGAAGACTGAGGATGGGAGACGTCGGGGAGGGCGGGCCCACACTGGGGCAGGAATGGCTTTAGTGGTTTTAGGTCTGGGGTTCCCCAAAAATTGTGATAACATTGACCATTACTTGAATACTATATCCAATCTCAAAAATACTGCACCATAACTAGGGCTGTGCAAAAACATCAAAATATTGATATACTGTATCATTTAATATGATATATAATATGGTATCAATACCACGGGCTGCTGTATTGATATATCACCAAGAGTATTTTTTGGTATATTTTACTCAGTTTTGTTGTTAGTTCAGAGGATGGAAACTCGTTTATGTGACACATTTGACATTTTCACTGTTTTGATGAGTAAAATGTTTGTGTTTCATATGAACTTTACACAAGAAGTGGTTTAACAAAGACTTTTAGTATCAGACATGAGTTAGCCTTTATTTTTTTATTGAACCATATTGAATCAATTTGAAATATATCGTATTAAATCGAAAGCTCATTGTATCGAGATATGTATCGTATCAGCAATGCTTTAACGATACCAGCCTCAACTATAACTCCACTCCACACTGAGAGATGAATATCGAATCTACATGTGTTTGAAAACATGGCCTCACATTACAATTCAGAATCAAAGCATCATGAAGAAACAGAGGGTCTGTGGAATATTGACTTACCAATAAGGGGTTCTGATTTAGACAAAGCATGAATGTGATGAGTGTGTATGTGTGTAGTGTGTGTGTGTGAGACAGAGACACACAAAGAGAGGAGAGGAGGCGGTCGCACAGATCAATGACCTGAAGTCACAGGTCTCCTGTTGCTCCTGTATCAGGACACAGCACAGGTTTGTTTTGGCTCTGGTTCTTTGTGAGAAATGCAGACTTGTATGATTGGACAGCATCAGCATTTTAAAGCTCATCTCCTCCCCTTTCTTGTCCCTCAGCTTTTGTCTGTACAGGGGCCCTTTAAGTAGGAACCTGTCAGCAGATTTTAACACCGGTGAAACAGGAAGTACCATCAGCACAAAGCAATATTTACTAGAATGATACAAGAGAGATTACAAAGAACTATCCAAACTTGGAGTACAGCCAAGCAAAAGCAAAATGTGGTAAAGGTTAGGGGTTAGGGGCTAGGCATTCTACATGGTTGTGTTCACCTTCTAAAATGCATTTAATTAATCTGAGCTGGGGACAGATCAGAATTCTAAGGTAGTATTTTACTGTAACTGTCAGACTTGTTGACCTTCTGTAGGTGCTGGGCCTGTCCACATGAACAACAAAACTGGCAAAAACTAGTGCAAACTTCAACATCTGTCTGTCAGTACAGATAAAAAGTAAAATGATTTTTTTTTCATAATAGCTTCATAAAGTGGTGAAAAGACTTTAAACCATAAGATTAATGACAAGTTTGTGAGGCCAAAAACAATCTCCTGTAGAGTTCTGTAGGCCCTTGTCCCCCATCTGAAATGATGCCAAAAAATTCTAGCTGACATTGTAGTTTGAGCTAAGTCAGTTATTTATGGTCAGATTTTATTGAAAAAAAAAAAAAAAGAAAAAAAAAAAAATCAGATTAAGGTTAAACTAACACTCAGTTAGCATACCTCCAGAAAATGTTGATGACATCAGCTGCAAAGTATCACTTGACAATCAGATTCTTTAGTTTAATATCTAACATGATTCAGTTTTAGTCAAGAAATAGTCAAATAATATGAGTTTTGGTTGACAGCAGGCCAATATATGTGTCCAAGTAATCTCCCTTGTGGATCAATAAAGCACAATAAAGTCTAATGTGAAGATAAAAATGAAATATATTGACCAAGAAAATACTAAATAAAACTCACACCAAGTTTAGTGTCTCTGTAAAATATATTTTGGTCCAAAAGCTGATTTTCAAAAATACATGTGCAATCAGAGTTTTACAGTGTACAGTTCTTCATCGCACTCGTTTGCCTTCATCTCACCAACATGGAGTGTTTCAAAAAGACTGATTCACCACGACAAGACCTGTCACGAGAATCCATTCAATACAAATATTGTATGTAGTGGGGACCTCTTGATATTTTTTGGTAGTGTTTTAAAGGTGAATTGTTTGTGAACTTTTCTGGTCGAGGGAGCATCACATGCTTGTCTCCATGGAGATGCATTACCTGAAATGTTCCACCATATGGGGCCCTGGAGCAGGCTCTGGGGAAGACCCAGGACACGCTGGAGGGACTGGCCTGGGAACGCCTTGGGGTTCCCTTGGAGGAGTACGAGGAAGTGTATGGGGTGAGGGAAGTCTGGCCTCTCTGCTCAGACCTGGTCCCAGATAAGGAGAAGAAATGGGTGGATCTCCAAGGAGACAAGATGGTGAGGTCAGATTTGTTGAATTTGTGTGCATTACAATCTGGTTGATTTAGAAAAGAGTTTAAGTGAATTCTAGTGTTTTTCAATATGACCTTTTATCCAAATGTGTTACCGTGACAGGTCTACAGATCCTCAGACGAGACAATTCCTGCTCACTTGTATTGTTATGCATTTTCTATCATTAGTACAGTTAACAGTAACAAAACAACATTTGAAGGGTTTTACAGGAACGATTGTGATGGTCCTAAACCTGGACTAGACCCAGACTAAACTAGGACTAGAACAGGACCAAACAAAGTCTATATCAGGACTAGACCAGGACTAAAGCAGGACTAAACTAGGACCAAAGCGCAGTCTATAAATTTGTTCTTCCCTCTGCTGACTTTGGTACCAACCCTTCTTCCTAATATCTTTACAAATAAACAGCAGATACAGTTCCAGTTGGCAGCTTACTTAGAAAACTAAATTGAAGAAACTAGTGAATGTTTAGAATTGCTATTTTACACATGATTGACTCTTTATTATTGTTTGTTGGATGTTTTGTTTATCAGAATAATACCTGGACTTGTGTTTTGTTTCAATTGTTTTTTGGACAGTTTGAGTTAAATGTATCTCGTCTCAGTAGATATACTGTTTGAGCAGCTCTTGAGGTCAAAATATGTCTACTGTGTACTGTCTTCAGCTAATTATAAAGCATGTGAGCAAGAACTTTGGACCACTTCAAAAGGAAGTAGTTGTGTTTTTCATGTTTTTAAGATGGGGAAAACCAGGTACAGATCCTTTAAAGATAGAAAACGAGATATCCAAAATCCCCTCTGTAAATTTGTATGAACGAAACAAAATACAACTCCAGGTATATGTTTGGCCAGTAACATTAGAGCTTGGTTAAAACTAGTTAAAGAAAGTTATTTTAGGCTTTACTTCCCTTAACTAGCAAATGGAATGAATGATCTCTAAGTGCAAATGCTAAAATGAGTGAATTACGCGGCGTATTTGGCACTAAACACACTCAACCTGCCTCCATGTTTTTTACACTGCTAAGGACAAGACAGACACAGAGCTAAGTCTCTACACATTTAGAAAGACTACACTGCAAAAATATCCATCTATCTGACCTGAACTGAACACATGAACAGTTTGGACTCATTTACATGGATTCATCTGTACAACTGGGTTTTAACCGAGCTTTCAAATGATTCATCTCCAGCGCAGTAAATCTTTTACTGAAAAAACTTTTGAGGTAAAAGCTCGGCCACCTGCTTGTCTCCATGGAGATGTTGTTGCCATGTCTGGAATGTTCCACAGTATGACATTAAACGTATCTAGAGGTGACCTTGCAAGATTTCAACAATAAAAACAGCAGTATGAATAAATGTAAGATAGACAGGTGTAATGCAATACTCTGGAACATTCAACATATAGAAATAACATGTAAATGGCAGTGGATGGACCCTCTGAGAGAAAACTTGTTAAAAATGTTAATGGGATAAGGACAATTTCCTCACCACACTAGCAGATCATTGACAGGAGCTGTAACGTTTCTGACGGGTCCACAACCTGCTTCTCTCTCTCATGCAGATGTTATTGCTTTGCATGGAATGTTCCATGGTATGACAAACATATTCATCTCTATGGAAACAAGCAGATGATGCCACCAGGACAAAGTTCCAGGTCAGAGCTGTGGTGAGACGAGCCCACTCACACCAACAACTGTTTTTCAAGGATTTTTTAAAACAAGCTAAACTGCTAATTACATCTAATGTGATCCTGTGGAACTTTCCAGGCAAAGTCATAACATTTCCATGGAGAGAGTTGGCAGAGCCAAAAGAACTGTTACATAATACAGCTTTAACAAAATAAATAAATCTAAATGAGTCAAAACTACTCAGTTTCAGGTCAGTTTAAACTTCATGTAATTTTCTTTGTTTGCAGTGAAAAGGCTAATGTAATTTCACACTACACACTGATCAGCAGCTTGTTTTCATATATCTTATTGCTTAAATCTTACAGACCTTTTTCACAACGGCCGGAAGTGCTGCATTGTAGCGTAAACGTCACTTACATTAATGCTTTTCTGTGGCAAAAAATCTGTGGAAATGTCTCACGTATTTTCCACCAGCTTCATAACTCTGCCTTCCCATCACCAAATCTTCAACCAACAAGCTCCACAAAGGATAAACTTTCTAACATGAAGAATTTATCCACAACTACCAAGGGAAGAAAGATGAAAATGTAAAGGCTAACAACGATGACGCGTTAGTGAACTCCTGAGCAAAACTAATGTTATGGTCACGAATAAACCAGAAGTAATAAGTAATTTGTTCATAAGTAACTTGTGAACTCAGACTGATTCTAAAATTAAAATTGATAAATAAAATAAAATAAATAAAAATCGATTTCATGATGTAGATATCAGCATAGACAGATTTGCACAACTGGAATGCTACAGATGTTCACAGATTACATGTCTAACATTTAAAGTGCACAAATCTCTCTGTCTATCATAATATCCACATCATGAAATCGATTTTTTATTCTAGAATCAGTCTGAGTTCACAAGTTACTTTTGTTTAATTCATGATCATAAAGTTAGTTTTGCTCAGAAGTTCACTAATGTGTTGTTGTTGTTCTCCTTCATGTTTTCTTACCTTGATATTTGTGGATAAATTCTTTATGGACAGAATATGTCCTTTGTGGACCTTGTTGGATGAAGATTTGGTGATGGGAAGGCAGAGTTATGAAGCTGGTGGAAAATACGCCAGACATTTCCACACATATTTCACCATACAAAAGCATTAACGTAAGTGACATTTACCCCACATCGCGGCACTTCCAGCCGTTGTGAAAAAGGTCTATTATGAGTGCTCCATAGTTTTAAGAAATATTCATCTAAAATAAATAGAGTGAATGCATTTGAAGTCTTACATCACATTGCTACAGTTGAAGTAGTCTAGACTCAGGGCCCATAGACACAGAATGGTCCGATTGTGCATACGTTTAAAGGAGATTCTGGCAGCATTTGTGGAGATTTTAGGCAAAAATGTTTGAAATGAAATCTCTGAATCGCTTGGCGTACTGTTCAGGGTGCACCGTGGAGATCTCAGCACCGGCCTGCCACACAAACAAGCAGAAAAACAATGATGAGAACAAGAGTAAATCCAAAGAGATAAAACAGACATCTTGAGTGGACATTCCAGAGGTCACCTACAGTAACAGAACACCAGCTCAGCAGCCATGTGACTGCTGTGAGATAGACACATATTTGACAGAAGTTGAGACAATATTGTAAAAGATGCAGACTCACCCCGTGTTTGACTGTTTTGGCGGCGTGTGCTGCTTTCTTCTTTGTGTCGTATTGAGTGAGAACATCGATCAGACCCATGAAGTATACCTCCCTCTGTGGGGCTCCTGCAGAAACAACATCACTAAACATTTTACTCCAGTCAAAGAAATGACAGCTCAAAATGTATTTGTGAACAGATACACCAGGGTGCTCATAGAATGCATGTCACGGTTAGTGTAAAAATAGTTTAATCAATGCTATTTTTGAAACCTGGCTCACACCAGACTGATATGTGTAGCACTCTAAAGTGTGTTCCACACATTTATCAATCTGGACAAAGCGTCCCAACAGTGGAGGAAGTAGACAAATTAGACTTGAGTTAAATCCAGATGAGAGTAAAGCACCTTATCTTTCCTCCACAAATGCACAAAGCTCTTACCTCTGGATGATTTTCACAAAATTAAAAGTCTGTACTCTTGCTAAAATAAGCTAAGGTATGTCTGTTTTGGCTCCATCCAAACCACAATGCTGCTCTGTGATTGGTGTGAAACACTGTTGGCTCAGCCCAGTCACAACAGGAGATGAGCCAGTGTTTGTGAACACAAATATTGAGAGAATTCCTCTTACTGGCCAGGACTGACTTTCTGTTTTATATTGTATTATTTAATGATTGGTATTGGTGTATTGTAGGTTCTTGGGGTCATTGTGTCTATTCTGTCCATCTGTTATCAGTTCTTGTTTTGACATTAGTATCTGGATATCATTTGCTTTACATGAGCTCCTTCTACAGTCTACAAACAAAAAATGAACCTTTTATATAGTTTGTTTGGCTATCATTTACCATTACCTGCGCAGCTCTTGACGGCGTACACGTCCACATAAGGATCGTATTCTCCAGGACCCAGAGGTTTGTAGGATGACATGTACCCTGCGATGCCTTCAGGGGAGTTACCGTACGAGCCCGCCACAGCAGCAGAGGGTGCTAGACCGTTCTCAGTCTCCTGCTCTTCCTCATTCGGTACCTCCTCTGCCTCCTCCTCCTCACGCTCTGCACGCCCCACGTCATGGATCCCAAGAAGCAAACTGTAGTCCATGATCTTCAATTTAACAAGGAACTGAAAAACAAAAACAAAGACGTAAACATTGTCCAAATTAGAGTTGATACCAACAATAACAAGAACAATACTAACATTTCAAACTCAATTCAATACTAAGAGGAAAAAAGTTACATGATTATAGGCTGGGCACTATTTAAAATTGTGGTGTATGTGGTGATGCTGCCCCCGTGTGGTCGCTGATGTGGCACTGCAGGCCTCACCTCCACGTCCCTGTTGAGTTTTTCCATAAACTTCTCCTTCTCCTCCTCTGTCACATACACCTTCTGCATGTTGTTCCTGAAGTCCATGTCTTTAAATGTGGGAAGCTCTTTCACCTGAGCAGAAACAGAAACAACAGGGTTTTCAGAAAAAACTTAAGGTGCACCTTTACTGTCAATGTAGAGAAATGTGTCCTCTGCATTTGACCCATCCTTTAGTATCTCCAAGTTAAACCTGTCAGGAGCAGTGGGACCCATCTCCTGATGTAGACCTAGTCTTGGTCAGGACAACCACAACTGGACAGTTTGATGTATGGTGCATGTTTCATGTTGTTAATATTGTCATCTCTGTGTATCTGACCCAAACCGCTATTTAATTTAATTTGCAACATATTGACATTAAACAGGACAGGACAATACACTATGTACAATATTGAACAATACAATACAACACATACACCACCACAGCAAATGAGGTAAAAAGTGTGTGTGTGTGTGTGTGTGTGTGTGTGTGTGTGTGCGTGTGTGCGTGTGAGTGTGTGCGTGTGTTTGTGCGTGCATGCATATGTATGGGCAAAAGTGTGAGGTTTCAGCGTCAGTAAATATATTAGAAAAATAAATAAATTGTGTGAATCATGAGCTTAATCAGCCTTTTTTTTAAATAGAAATACAAAAAAAACAAAAGCTCACCCACTTCTCCTTTCTGCTATTGTCCCACATAAATCCTTATCATCTAAATAGAATAAGTCAACTAATACAAATGTTGGTTGAGACACCACTGACCTATTAATCAACTAAATGACTAAAGAATTACAGCCCTAAAAATAATAATAATAAAAAAAAGATTTAGTTCTTACCCTTTCTTTGTCACTTGCTTCTCGAGACACCAGAGAGCCCTGCAAAACAAATGATACCAGTATAATTTAATGGACAAGTGTTGAGTACCAATAAACATGTTCCTATTTCACTTGTATGGGGCATTCACTGTTAACATATAACATATTTAGATCAACATGATATCTTTTATTGTATTTCAGTGCAATCAGCATACAGCTCATTGCACCAGGTTTGTAAAGTCATAGTGTACAGTTTTGAATTATGCTTTGTATATTTATGTAGAATTGTTGTGTGGGAGCATGGGTGATGTAGGTTTGTAAGAGGAGCATTGTACACAATCTTACAGTAAGGAGGGTTTAAATAGGGCCTGAGAGAGATCACTAAATTACTTAAACATGCATGGATGGCATCTAAAACCTCTTCAAGAAATGGGGAAATGCTGAGACAGATTAATTAGACTTGACAGTAGTAGATAAAATATACATTCAGAAAGGTATTTGGACAGTAGAGTTAAACTAAAGTAATAATTCATATGCTGTAGTGTTGGTACCTTGAGGTCGTACTTGCGGTGCACCACGAGTCTGTGGCTGAACATGTTCCTCATGACAATCAGATAGGTCTCCTCACTGTCCACACTCACTCTGTACATGCCCAAGAACTGAGGCAGCAACGTGTTCCCATGACACTTCACTATGTGCTAAGACAACACAAAGATGAACATTACATTATTACATTAACCTGAGAGCACCTGCTGAACGGGCCAGAGTCCTGTGTAAACAACAACTATCACTACTACTGGGTTTCACGTGACATGACAACATCCTACACTGCAACAATATGAAATACAGGCTTGAGACTTCTAGGTTGTTGTCACAAATGGAAATTGTTAGGGTCACCATTTGTGAATGTACTTTATTTTTTTATATTTCATGACAAAGTACAATGTAACAGAGAATTTGGATGTTTCCTGAACAGTTGTAGAATGATCTTGGGCTGTATCAGAACAAGTATAATACCATATGGTAGATAAAAGTACTATTGATACTTTGCAGCTGATGTCATGTTAATTGTAAGAACTGTTCTGTTTGTAGCTCTGTTACTCCACTTACACTTTAATGACTTAGCTAGCTAGCTAGACAAGCTAGCATTAGCCAACAGTTTTTCAGTGAGTCCCTCTCACCTTTAGTGTAAAATTAAACTTTTAAACAGAACCATGAACGCTCGCTCTGATCACAGCCTCCTGAAAATGTGCTCTTTAAATGCATTTCAATATTTTCTATAGTCTTCAGACTATATTAGAGCATTTTGACAGTGTTGTCTCATCATAGTAACTACTGAATGTTCTAGCGATAGAAATCCATTTAGAACACCCCCAGAGTGATGTCACTGCAAAGTATCATATATATCATTGTTTCCATTTATAACACAGTACATTTCTGTAATCATTGTTTAGCCATGGAGCATATTAAAAATATAAAAACTATGAATATTAACATCCGTAATTTGAATATTTAGATTGTATTATTATTGTTGAAGGCAATTATTTTGACCATGATAATGGAACATGTTTGGAAAATGAACTTGCGACTTTTTTCATATTTACCTTTGCTCTCAGTTCTTTTTATGGATGTTTTACTTTTAACAAGAGTGGGTCCAGAAGCATGAGACAAGATGGTTTATAATTAACAGTCATGAAATTCAATTCACTATTTGGCCCTACAATTTTTCATTCAATTTATTTTGTATTTTGCTGTTATTTTAGAATACTGAAGAATATTTTAAAACCCCTTTGATCCCCCATCCACATTGTAGAACAGAGGCCTGTTTTTAGTCATCCTTCTGAGACAGCTTTGCTCCATGGAGACACTTTAAATTGAGTCTGATTCAGGTCACTCTCCTCACCTGCTCCACCACAGCACAGAGCACAGAGGAGCACAGCAAAGAGGGAAGCTGTAACTAAACTCTCACAGAGCACCATAAAAACAAACAAAAGCTTTGCAGAAGTGGGCCACAGGGGACAGAGCCACTTCACATACACTTTCAAGGTCTGGCCTCTAGCAACAGAGCAACAGAGCAAACAGGAAACCACTGCACAGTTATTATTTGTAATAGGAGACAGAGCAAAAACCATGTCACAAGGAAGTTATTATAATGAAACAAGGGCTGGGCCAAAATATGGACTCTCTCATTTGGGTTGCCAGTTTCACTATTAAAATCCAGTTGGTTAAATTGCCTCTCTCTGATGTGAATGACACTACCTAAACCTAAGCACCTGCACAACCCTGAATCAGTGCTAGTGCAGCCTCTGCAGCTCAGGGAGGGAATTTTGGAGGTTCTGAGCTTTCACATGAGACAAGGGCTGTCAATATACTGAGAATATACACGTATATCTGCAGGTTATGGCACTAAAAGATATTGTAGCACAGTGAGAGCGCAGACTACAAACTGTTTCTTTAATTGCACTTACAGTGTCTAAATGGAAACATGTAAACTATGTATTATCAAATTATTCTATGGTCATTATATACTGTACCTGGTGCTACTTAGAAAGGAAGTAGTGCATATGGGCGTACCTGACAGGATGTTGGACATATATGGGTGTACCTGACAGGATGTTGTACATATATGGGTGTACCTGACAGGATGTTGTACATATAAGGGCGTACCTGGTGATATTCGGACAGTATATTGTGCATGTCGGCCACGTCTTCACTGGAGATCTGTTTAATCACTAGAGTTTTGTCGTAGGAGTTGAGGAGCAGTCCCTCGCCCTGGGCCTCCACACTGAGAGGAGGACTGCGTGTCAGAGATACCTGCAGCAGAGAGGAGACAGACAAGAGAGAGGGACAGGAAAGAAAGAGAGATGAGAGAGAAAGGAGAGCGCGAGGAGAGAGGAGAGAGTTCAAAACAGTTCAAAACTGTACAAGTGTGGAGAAGTGCATAAAGATCCACAGTTGAACCAGTGATCTGCTGCTGTTGGATGGAGACTACGCCATGGGCCCTCAGACCACCAACACTCACACATCACATTCATAGTAGACAATGTGGGTGAAGTGTTTTGCCCAAGAACACAACAGAGGATGCACAAAAACCACTGCTGCCTCACACTGGCATATTCCCAGATGTCCCTCGTCACAAAGAACCAAACTTGTGTCGCTGTGTCCTTAGACAAGGCACTTCACCTATCTAGCCTTGAAAGGGGTGTGGGTGTGAGTGATGATGGTAGTCTGAGGGGTCGATGGGGCAGATGGTGCCGATGACGCAGATTAGCAGCCCCACTGCCAATCTTCATGAAAGAATAATGACTAGAGTCTACAGCTTCGAGAGACTTTGTCGATTCTGTAATCACACTACAAGTGTATGGGTTTATTATTATTATTATTATTATGGATTATCTGACGAGATCAAGACATGGTACCATGGATGGATCGCTCTATGTACAAGGACCAAAATATGTTATTGCACCTGCCTTCTGAAATGTAACTTGGCAATATTTAGCCCTTATGTCTCTCGATCAGAAAATGACTAAAGAGGTGAGTGAATGATTCACAACTCACCTGATAATCCAAGTCCTCGATACCAAAACGCTCTCGCAGATTCCGGAACACCTGAGGACAGTACTCCTTAAACTTAAAATGTCCCGGGAGGTTTTCTCTGCAGAAACATAACATAGAAACTGTCAAAAAGAACCTGTACTTGGGTATCACATTGGAAGACCAAAATGATGCTCTCTCAAGTAATAGAAAAGTATGGTTAGTTTTAATACATATTCACTGGTTAGCACATTTCTGTAACTTAAAAAGAAGCAAAACAGGTCCACACTTGCACTCAGACAAACTTTGGTCTTTTCACAGTGAGCCTGCATGATTTAAAATCCTCACGTTGTGAAGTGTGACATGACACAAAAAATCGTTATAGTTCTTTGTGTTGCTGAGTAAGCGTGTACAGAACAGTGTTTGTGCTTTAGAAAGAGCAGGTGAGATGAACGTACTTGTTAAAAAGGTGGTTGTTGACCTTGATCTTGGTGTTGGCCTTAAAGTCGTCTGGAAGCAGCATCACAGGAACAGGCACCTGGCTCAAGTCGTTTATCTGGGAAATAAAGTGCACGTTCATCATTAAAAGAACATTTTCATTAACTCCTGTATTTAAATAAAGGAGGTCACCATATCCAACTTTTAGTGTTACGATTATAGTGAAGAAAAAACACAGTTATTTAATGATTATTCACAATTACAGATTTTTTTTTCCATTTCCATCATCTAACATGTTACAATGACCTGGTTTCTGAAATGAAACTTTCTGAATCATGAAGTAAAGTTGAGGTGAAATAAACAGAGAAAATAAGCACTGTACAGGAATTTAACTTTTTTGTAGAGCCCGACCGATATATTGGCTGGCCGATATGGGCACCTGGAGACATATCGGCTATCTGCCGATATGCTTGCTGATATGGGCCGATATTTCACGTGGGCATGTTATACCTCGTTATAAAGCTTAGACTCTCTACATTATGTTCATTTAATCCAATTTACAGACAGATAAATGTCCTAATATGTGGCTCTGTGTCAGTATTTATCTGCAGTGTAACTTGTCTGTGTCTGTACTGTCCCTGAACACACCACAGAGTCATGTCACTTCACTCACGTGTTCTTGTTTACACCCGCAGCAGTGCACAACACTGAGATTATATTCTTTTTAGGACAATCGGTTTGAGTCTGGATTAAAAGGACATTTATTAGTTCAGACTTGTGATGTGGGAGGAGCCTGTGTGAGGCTGAGTGTTGGAAATACATTGACTTTGAAGCTAGTTTTGGTTATTTGTTATTAGCGATTAGCTGCTGTAGCTCCCGCACATAAACAGGCTGTTTTCTATTGGTCTGTTGTAAAGTGACTATATTGTCCGTATATTTGCTACTGGAGCTGCATTGATATGTAAATGAGCTGTGAATAGACGTGTGAATGATCCACATTTATGCATAATTAATTACCGCGGCGCGCACGTTTTTATGGCTAAAGGCTAAGAGCGCTAGTTTCTTTACTATTTAGGAGTTATGGGTCGGTTGCGATCGAAGCGGCTCTTAGAGCCGGCTCTTTGAAGCGAACAACGGGAGCCTGCTTCTTATTGGGAGCCGCGTTTTCTCTTTTTCTCACTTTTTCTCTTCAAGCCGCTTGTAGGCCCGTAGTTTGACAGCAGCAGCGGCTGAAAACAAAACTTTCAGAAATCTGCGTGTGCATAGGATTTTTAAAAAAAAGTGCATATTTGGCTGCAGTTCAGCATAAAATGAATAAAGCAGGACTAATCTTGGGCTCGAGTGAGGGAGAGACCAAGTCCCGACACTCAGTCCTGGTTCAGTTCTGGTGTAGTCCTGCTTGCAACAAAACAATCTAAAGAGTCTCTTGGGAGCTGAAAGAGCCAGCTGCTTTAGTGAGCCAAGCCAAAAGAGCCGGTTCTCCAAAAAAAAAAAAAACTGGAATCCCCATCACTAGTAGCTAGAATGTGATGCAAAAATGCCATTAGGCCAATCTACTGTATGTAAATATGATGTAAAGAGTCAGAATAACAATAAATGTTGCCTAAATAAACCCAATTTACAATCCACTAGAGCCAAACCTAAGTTTTTTTAAACAATTCAAGATTTACAGTGAATTTTTACATCACTAAATATATCGGCCATTATATCGGCCATCGGCAGCGCCAACTCCCATTATATCGGTTTCATATCGGCCACAACAAAATCTGTATCGGTCGGGCTCTACTTTTTTGGAGAACAGTTTGAATGGAAATTATTTAATTTAGCTTTAAAACTTTTTATCTATTTACTTCTATGGGGTATTAACTGCTAACACGTAACATATTTGGTCACCATGTCACTTTTTATTGTTTTTATGGTATTGTTCAGGTTTGTGAAGTTGTCGTGTGTGGTTGGTTAGTAGTGTGTGGTTATAAATGCTTTTGTATATTTATGAAGTATTGTCATGTGGGTGTGTGAGTGACGTAAAATCTTCTACAGGATTGTAACTGTAAGGGGCTAGTTATAAATCAATTACACTAAATGTGTCAAATGCAAATAGGGACATTTGGTGAACACACGGCTTACTTCTGTTTTGGTTAATTTTACATAGTGACACATACACTATACCACTGCACTCTGTTAATAATAGGTTTAATGGGTTTGTCATTAAAATGAGCTAAACACAGTGTAAACTAACCCACATCATGTCTTAACTAGGTATAAATACTGTCTAAAGTGCTCAGACTTCTGCCTCTGCGGCCCGACCCCGGATAAAGCAGAAGAAAATGGATAGACAAATCTACGTAAGCAGCCTTCTAGATTCAAAGTAGTAGTACACACTGACACTACATCAATTGTAAACCTGTTCTAAACCAGGACTAAAATTAGACTAAATAAGGTCTGAACCAGGACTTAATCAAGATGCAGTAATAGAATGTAAGTAAATCAGGACTAAACTAAGACTAAATCAGGACTCAATCAGAATATCATTGTTAAAACAGGTCTAAACTAGGATTAGAGTTAGTCTCTAGATCAAGATGAAACCATGGATAAAAAAAGTCATGCGCAACTACATAACAAAACCTCTACTTTAAGTATATCCCACTCAGGTGCAATCGATCAAGAACCAGCTGGGACTAAACCAGGTCTATACAAGGATTAAACCAGGACAGAACCAGGACTGAACCAGGATCAAACCAATTCTTACCAATGAATAAAAAAATCTATAAAACATCTTGTGTACACTGTCTAAATGCATGCACAACCCATAATATACCCAGCTTTCTGAAACTGAACTAAACCAAAAACAAATCAGGACTAAACCAGGACTTCATAATGAATAAAACATCTCTAAACTTCATATCACATAATTTTGTTTATTTTTTTCCTTTTTCATAGTTGATAGCATTTTTCAATCCCTGTATTTCATTGTCATGTGTAAAATATAGGGTCTAAATCATAACTAAACCAAGACTGAACCAAGACTAAACCAAGAATAAACCAAATCAGACTTTTATTTATTACCTTTTTTATAGTTTAAAACCACTCACTTGTCCTGTAATAAGCATCGTGCTGTATAAATAACATGCATAAAAGCATAACAAAACCAAGTCCAAACAGGACAGAAACTGCAGTAAATCAAGACTAAACCAGAACTAAATACTGAAGAAAAGATCTGTAAACCATGATCTAAACTTGCTCTCACAGCTCTGTAATAACCATGTGCTAATTCTAAATAACAGAACTGGGACTCATAGTCAAGCCTAAACCAGATCCTAGAACAATGAGGTTCATTTAGTCTTCCGATAATTTATCTTATTGGGTTCTTTTTTCAGACCAAGAGTTTGTTTTCATACCTGACAATTTCGACTACTCACTGCAGTCTTCCTCATAGTGGTCGGCTTCGGTAGGAAGACACCGCCAAAACCTGTAGAAATCAGCTGACCAGACACATCACAGCAACATCACGTGACCACTCTGAGAAAGACCGCAGGGAGCAGCCGAAACTCTCAGGTATGAAAACAAACTCTTGGCCTAAACCAGATCCTTCAATGAATAAACATGTGTAAACCATATGGTCTAAACCAGGACTAAACAAGGATTAAACACTGAATAAAACATCTGTACTAACCATAGCACTGCCTGAATAAATAACATGCATACATATATAACTCATAACAATATCAGGTCTAAACCAGGACTAAACCAGGACTAAACACTGAGTAAAGGATCTGTAAACCATGATCTAAACTTGATCGCCCTGTAATAATCGTTGTGCTAACTCTCTAAATAGCATGCAAAATCCATAACAAAACCAGATAATAAACTAATAGTAAAGAGTAAACCAGATCCTTCATTAAATAAACATATGTAAACTATATGGTCTAACCCAGGACTAAAATAGGTCTAAACCAGGACTAAAACAGGTCTAAACCAGGACTAAAACAGGTCTAAACCAGGACTAAAACAGGTCTAAACCAGGACTAAAACAGGTCTAAACCAGGACTAGACACTGAATAAAACGTCTGTACTAACCGTAGCGCTACCTGTCTACATAACATGCGTATATAACTCATAACAATATCAGGTCTAAATAGGACTAAACCAGGTCTAAACCAAGTCTAAACCAAGTCTAAACCAAGTCTAAACCAAGTCTAAACCAAGTCTAAACCAGTCTAAACCAAGTCTAAACCAGGTCTAAACCAAGTCTAAACCAAGTCTAAACCAAGTCTAAACCAAGACTTTATTAAACTACCTTTGTGATAGCTTTAAAGCCTGTCCGTGCCCTGTTCTACCCGTTGTGCTAACTGTCCCTGTTCCATTTCCATATGGTGCAGTTACACTCCCGCAGCAGCGTTAGCATTAGCCTCCGCTGTCCCACTCACCGAATGATTCACGCCCCACATGAACACACTGATCACCGGGTCACTGGCTCGGAACACCTTCACTTTCTGCTGGACGAAATGCTTCTTCTTCGTCTTGGTTTTGGGCGCCAGGATCACCATGGGGCTGGAGCTGGCCCCGGAGTTACCGAGGGATGCCATAGCCGCGCGGGAGCTCTCCTCTGCGGGCTGCTCTTCCTGGAACCTGCGCTGTCTCTGGAGGAGGCTAGCACACGGAGCTAACGCCGAGACCCAGCCGCGCTCCTCCCCAACGGCTCACACTGTCAAAGGTCACCCGGATTTTGGTTTAATTCAAGCTCAATTTAACGTGTAAACGAGCAGAATAAATGATTGCTTTAGCTGGAGCCTAGCAGCAGCGTAAATGATTGATTAAAAGTGCAGACGTGCAGCAGCGTTGCCCCCTAAAGCCATGCCAAAGCCCCCCCGTTATTTTGGAGGACCACGTGGTGAGCTTATGATTGACAGGTGACACGAGCCAAAGGACGCGCACGCTGCACGTCAGGTGACCCGAATAGCGAACGCTATTTCCCTCAGCGGGTTTTTGAGATGCAAATTGTGTACAAAAATTTTACTTTAAATAAGATATAAATAAGATTTTTTTTTTTTTTCTCAAAAAAAAAAAAAAAAAAAAAAAAGAAATATGTATATACATTATATATATATATATATATATATATATATATATATATATATATATATATATATATATATATATATATATATATATATAATATATAATATAATAAGAATAATATATAGATATAATTAAATACTTTTAAAAAATCTAGGACTAATCAGAACATTCTCAAAAACTTTTGTATTCAAATGGGGATGTCACCATATTCATCTTTAATGTTATGATTATTGTGAAATAAACAGACAAAAAAAGCACTTTACATGAATTTAAATTTTTTGGTGAATAGTTTCAATGGAAATTGCTTAATTTAGCTTTTATACTTTTACCGTACACACACACACACACGCACGCACACAAAACAAACAAACAAAAAAAAAACTTCTATTGGGTATTAACTGCTAACACAAAACATTTTTGATCATTATGTTACCTTTTATTGTTTTTATGGTATTGTTCAGGTTTGTGAAGGGGCTATTTATAGATAAACTACACTTAAGGTGTGAAATGCAAATAGGGACATTCGGTGACAGACACGGATAAGCAGAAGAAAATCGATGAAATATCCATTTTCTAGTAGGCTACATAGCCTACTAGATTCAAAGTAGGGTTACACACTTAGACTACATTAATTCTTCTAATCCAGGACTAAAAAACAAAAAACAAAAACAACAACAACAAAAAAGGATAACAAAAAAAGGATCTATAATGGGATCTATAATATTAGAATGAATTTAAAGTGCATATGACAGGTTTTCATGTTTTTCTAATTATGACTTAGTTTGGTGTAATAGTTCATATGGTCAATATTTATCAAAGTTTTACATCAACAATAAAAAATATGAAAATATATGTTATGTAATTATGAAAAATATGTTTCCTCATAAATATGAATGGTGGTTGTGTTTTTAAACCATGAACATTTCCTGGCAATGGGCCCCCCATTTAATATTTTTCCTCACTCATAAACACACTCAGACACTACGAAATAGCAATATAATGTTTTTTTTATTGTTATTATTGTTACTATTATTTTTAACATTTAACACATCTGTTCTTTTTGTGCTTTTTTCACGGCACTCACAAAGTTTCCAAATAACTTTTTTATCTTTTTTTTTCTTTCTTACAATTAAATGACTTTGGGAAAGACATACAACGATAACAATTCATATTCTCTTTGTTGAAATTATAATTTATCATGAGGTGTCAATGTCAACATTACATAACTAATACTGGACATCTATGCTATAATGTACAGTACTTAGATTTAACCAAGGAATATATTTTTGTTATAAACTTCTCTTGAAACATTTAAAGCTGCACTATGCAACTTTTCAGCCACCTGCTTGTCTCCAAGGAGATTTTATTTTTTACCCAGAATGCTGCGCAGTATGGCATTAAACTTATGTCTATACAAGAAAAAACAGTTGTAATTGAATAAATATAAGATAGATAAGACATAATGCCATACTGCGGAACATTCCAGGCAAAGCAATAACTCCTCCATTGAAACAAGTAGGTAGGAGACATCCCATCAGAAAAGTTCCGCAGTGCACCTTTAATATGAAATAAAATAACACAAAAATAACTATTGACAATATAAAAATACATGGCACTGTATCGTAGCTTTTTAAATAAATCAACATTTCATATATAAAATATTATATATGTATAAAAATATGCCTTACAACTTTTTGAAAACAGTAACAGCCGTAAGCGTTTTCTTTGCCTCTTTACATCACGTGAAAACACAGAATCCAAACGTATGTACAAATAGACATTACATTTATAGAAATATAGCACAAAATGAGAATGTGTTAATTAAACATGTTAAACTTAAGATACCCAGGGACAAAATCATTAATGGAAATAACTATTAGGGCTGAATGACTCTAATACATCCAGATCTTAAAGGACCTGTACCCAATTTCTTCCCATGTATTTGAGCAAAATGTGTCCTACAACAGATGTATGTAAAAGCAGCTCTTGAGGTCAAAATAAGTCCACGGTGTGCTGTGTAAAGTAAAAGTGTTTTATTGTCTGAAAATCAGGAATTGCACAAGTAGCATGGTGCTCTGGCCCCTAAAAGTTGTGAAAAGCGTTTATGGATTCATGGTGGTACTCGTCATGCTGTGAATTGTTCAACATGTTTTTATTTTTTTTATTTATTTTTTGATGAAAATTGTTTAGAATCCAGAGAAGCCAATGACCACTAAGCTCTGTTGATATTTATGTCATTTGAGTTTAGTACAAATTCATTCACAACTTTGTTTTACTACAAATTGGATAAAGAGAGCTGTTTAGCAGTACCGTATTTGGACTAAAATGTACAAATTCAGCTTTACACATATAGTATTTATGCATATTTAGGCAGCGGATTTAAGGCTGATATGCGATATGCTTAAGTGTAAGTGCAAATATCAGCCCGATATATCGGTCTAGCCCTACTCTGAATGCATAAGATAAGTGAGGAATAGCGTTGGACCCCCTCCAAACCTAAATATTTTATGTTTAAAAAAAAATTAAAGTATAGGCCAACATTTATAGCTTAAAGGTGTACTATGTAGCTGGCTGTCTCTATGGAGATGTTATTGCTTTGCCAGGAATTTTCCACGCCATCAAGTTAAGTTACAGGTCAAATCTGTGGAAAGGCGAGCCCACTCACAGTAAGTATGCATATTATTCAGTGTTTCTTCAGTCATTTGGTATAGCCAAGAAGACAAACAATTAAATAAATAATACATATTAGTTAGTTAGTTATTGAGTCAGTCAGTTATTCCAGACTGAAAGGGTTTAGGCACTGATTTAACACAGATTTTTTCAAACTCTATTGACGTAAATTATAAGTGAGAGTGTGTTTTTTTTCTGTAAGATAATGCTACACAGTGAAACGTGTGAACAATCGTCCACGTAGAATCCAGAGCAAAGGATAAATTCAGTTTGTCGACTGAACAAAAGTTAGTTTGACTGACACAGTGAAACATTCTAGACAAAGCAATGACTGAATCATATGGCTGACCACACACCAGAAAAGTGCAAAGCCATCATTTCTGTTCTTTGATGTTTGCTCTTATTACAATTTTCATTTCAGTCAATCATTCAGCCCTAATATCTGTACTTAAAAAATAAATAAACAGCAAATGAAAAATGAGTTTGAGTTGAGTCAGTGTATCTTTGGAGAGAGGAAGAGGGGAGCGGTGAGGAAGTTTTCACCTGAATAACAGTACCAGCCGACTGAGAAGAGCGGGCAGTGTCAGCTAAGAACCAGAGCCAGGCAAACGTCACCAAACATCACCAAGAATCACCAAAAATCACCAAGTATCACCAAGGCAGTGCAATCATGTGAACAAGCAGCATGTCACCAGGAGGGGGTGCTGTTACTGCATCTGTGGAACATTCAGGCAGATCTGTGCAACTGTGGAAGAGGTCAGGGGTCGTGTTCGGACAGTGGAATGAACCTCTCTCAGAAGAGGGCAGGGGACAGTATTCATTTATGTAATACATGTTACTATAATGAGAAGCAAAAAGTCAAATATTAAATAAATTACTATAGTTTCGTTATAGTGAATATTACTGTAAACTGAAAATGAAACAAACAGGGGTATATGTTTGTTTCCTTTTCAGTTTTCTTACTGTAGACAATATTTCCAGCCACACCTCAAACCTGCCTGATCAGCACTGTCCCCTGCCCCCTCTGGACTCTACAGGGAGAAAGGATGGAGTCTGATAGTTCTTTAGTGGTGCTGGTTCTGGTCTCTGGTCCCTGGTCCAGGCTTCTCCTCTTCCTCTCCTCTGTCTTGGCTCTGGAGCTCTGGGTTCACTCTGCGTCACACGATAGCGCACCCTCTTCAGGAGCACGTGAGGGCAGTGGCGTGCCCAGCTCATCCACGCACCAGCAGTGGCCACGCTGCATGCCCTTAGACGAGCGGCACTAGAGAAGACCACAGAGACTGGGGTTAGATTAGTGACGGTGAGAAGAGTCATCCAGGCGCTCAAAGTCACTTCACACCTTCATCCATTCTTCACCGCACACTGTGCTATCGTAAACTGTTTCTGTAGGCCTAAGACCCGTCACACCAACACACACCACATTCATACAGAGGCAAGTTGGTGAAGTGTCTTGCCCAAGGACACAACGACAGTATGCACTGGTCGGAGCAGAGATCGAACCGCCAACCCTCAGGTTTGTGGGCGAACGCTCTAACCACTGAGCCACTGCCGCCCAACCTAAGAGAAGGTGAAGAGGAAGAAGTCATTGTTAATTAAGTTCAATTTAAATCAACATTTCCTTTTGTGACTGTTACTTGGACTCTGAACAGACTCCAGCACATGTGCAGAATGCCAAGTTAATATTCATACAGTCAAACTAAAACAAGTGGAAATATTTTGGTAAAATGCTCTGACATTGCTCTATGCAATACTGCAAACCAGGAGCAGAACTTTCAAAGAAATCTGAAGTGGTGAACTAACACAAGCAACAGGTCCCACAGACGCATGACCTGCACCTGCACCTGTCCTGTCTCGTGTCTCACCTGTTTCCTGCGATAGAACCCGCGCGTGTCACAGTTGGGGATGTAGATGTCTCTGTCTGACTGGAACAGTGTGAGCTCCAGACCCCTCAGGACGCTGTTCAGGAGCCGGCGACACGGAGCCTGCAGCGCCAGGAAGTGACATCACAGTGTTACAGATGCGTGTAAATAGATGTGTGTAAACAGATGTGTGTAAACAGATGTGTGTAAACCATTGGAGAATTAGATTTTTAACAGTTAAAAGAGCTCTGTGTAACTTTTTCTGGTTCTGTGGAAATGTTACTGTCTTGCCTAGAATGTTCCACAGTACGGTGCAACGTATCTCAATGGTAGCAAGCAAATGACACCAGTAGTCCAAGTTACAGGTCACATCTGCGGAGTGGCAAGTCTTACAAGTCTGTCACTTACAGTAACACTAGATGCTTTTAAATGCATTTTGAGCAAAAAAAACAAATGTGCATGTTTAATGCAATTCTTTGGAACAATTCAGGCAAAGTAATAACATAATAAAGTAATATTTTCAACAAGCGACAAGCAGGTGGCGTATCTCCATCAGAAATATTACATAGTGCAGCTTTTAATTGCAGATTTATGTTGTCATATAGGGATTTCAAGAGTCCCTGAAGGTGAAACCAGATTTGATTTGATTTTTTGATATTAGGCTTAGTGCCAATGCTGCTCAGAATGCACCAAGAAAAGCAAGCTCAGTGAGACAGTGTGGCAGACAGGCCATGTTATCACATAGTGAACAATAGGGCTGATTCATTTTGGAAAAATATTGCATTTGGATTTATGATTTATTTATGATCTTCAGTTGAGTCCTTTAACCATAAATTGTCTATGTTTGTACCTTAAATGAGGTCTATTTATTGATGAGACACATTTCAAAATTATTTAAAACAAAGCACTTGGTCTAATTATGTCTAGAAGTTGCTAACCCTGTAGTTTGGACATCTTCAAACATGTTCTGAAATCCACGCAGTTTTTGTGTCAGCAGTTCATATGATGTGTTTTCTGAATAATAACATATTTCCAGTCTTGGCGTTTTGAGGATTGTGATCATTGACATTATGATTCAATAGCTGTTAATGTTGCAGTCCTGTTGTACATTATATAACTGTATTGTTACACAATCTTGTGGTTTTCAGGTCAGCGGAGAGTGTGAGATGACAGTGCGCTTTAACCATATGTGATTTTCTGTACATTTTGCCCTGTCATTCTCACACATACTCAAACGCCTCTGCTCGGAAAAATGTGCCTCTGCAACGCAAAACTTTCTGATCCTCATCGAGCTCAATTAGTTCTGCCGCATAGCAGCACAGCTCCAGAGGAGTCCACAGCACAGACACAGCACAGCCCTGTTCCAGCCCTGTCACAGCCCCATACACAGTGACAAAGCCCCGTTCATCATATATGACATTATATACATGCAAAAGACATCATTATTTCAGGTCAATGAATAAAGAAACTCACTTTGTCCAGATCTCCTCCGTGTGAAGGGTGAGGGCCTGACAGAAATGACACAGCAGCAAAAATAAGACATTTTAACAAAGACATTCATGTCACTGTAAAGCTAGTTTTAAACACAGGTCTATGTCTAAATGAGCTTTTGAAAGATTTTATGGGTCATTTTCATGAGATTTTTCACTAAAACATCATACTTTCAGAGTCCAAACAGCAGGTGGAGGTCACTACAACCAAAAGCTCAGAGTTTAGGTTAGATTCTCATCCATAAATGTTCCAGTGACAGTGATAGGACAGACACAGAGAAGGACACACTGGTCAGTCCTGTGAAGCAAGTGTCAGAACTGGATTCAGTCAGACACACTAACAGGGTGTATTTAAACTCATACATGCAGAATCTGTGAGACAGTCCTGTCTCTGAATGAAAATGTGACAACTGTGTTTAAGAGTGATGCTGCAGCTGCAGCCCCTCTGCAGTGTGGGGGTGTGCAGCACATGTACAGTATATACAGAGAGCATATAGAACGCACTATTACACACTATTATAGACGGTTACAGACTATTACACACCATTACACACCATTACAGACTGTTATCAGAGCCTTATCACAGCCTTATCACAGCATTAGAAGTGTTCAGACGTGTCTCACCTGCAGGTGGGGGTGTGCAGCACATGTACAGTACCGAGCCCGTGGCTAGGGTATGATTAGTGTATTCTAGTATTCTTGCATGTATAGAGTAGTATTAAAAGTATTCAGACCGGTCTTACCTGTGGGTGGGGTTTGTCAATGGGCACTGCATACACAGTATAGAGAGCCTCTAGCTCTATGCAAAGGACTAGCACATATCACACAGTATTACAGAGGATTCTTACCTGCAGGGTTGGGTTTGTCGGTGGGTGCGGTCCGGCTGCCCTTGGCGCAGACTCCTCGTCCCTGGAGCAGAGCCTGCAGAGGGCTGTGGTCTCTGGGAGGGGGCACACAGCGCAGACCCCTGGCACAGCTCAAAGTGTAGACTCCACAGGGCTCCCCAAGGGCCAGAGCCGTGGTGCTGCCCGCAGACTGGTGCTCACGGGTGGGACGCCCAGAGCTCAGGGGGTCCCTGCAGGAGGGGCACAGCTTAAAGGGGCCCAGACGACTGGCCCCCGTCCAGGCTCCGCAGTGAGCGATCAGCAGCAGCACAGCAGCAGAGATGTGGGAGAGAGGCATCCTCCACCTGGTCTGGCACTGGCACTCAGCTGGAGATATTTGTGATTAAGAGGGTCTGTGTGTCTCCTCTGGGCTTCTCTGGGCTCCTCTGTGTTCCTCTGGGCTCCTCTGTGTTCCCCTGGGCTCCTCTGCCTCTGCACTGCTTCTCTGGTTTAGTGTCCTGCAGAGCCACAGCAGACAAGAGATGGAGAGAGAGACAGCACGCGCCAGCTTTTAAAGATGTGAATGAGAGGAGAGAAGAGAGGGAGGAGAGAAAGCAGAGGGAGGAGAGGGAGGGGAAAGGAGAGAGAGAGGAAGACAAGGAGGAGAGAGAGGGAGGGAGAGACAGCACGCACCAGCTTTTAAGATGTGAATGAGAGAGGGAGGGAGAGAGAGGGAGGTGGAGAGAGAGAGAAAGAGAGAGAGAAAGAGAGAGAGAGAGAGAGAGAGAGAGAGAGAGAGAGAGAGAGAGAGAGAGAGTGTAAGTGCCAGCTTTTGAAAAGCTGAATGAGAGAGAGGAAGAGAGTAGAGAGTGGGACAGCACGCACTAGCTTTTAAGATGTGAATGGGAGAGAGGGAGAAGAGAGAGCAGGAAAGAGGGAGAACTGTGGAGGAAAGAGAGCGATAGGGTGTTAGGAGTAAAGGAGAGAGAGAGGCTGGGACAGAGAGCAGAAGGAGGCAGAGATTCATACAACAGAAGACCTATTCTCCAGTTATATGAATATCACATTCAAACACATGACACAAGTCTGCAGTCTGTTCTGAACAATTTTACCATGGAAACGAAAACCAATCATATTAAAGTGCATTCATAATGATCTGATCTCCGTCCTATAAACTTCAACTGTAAGGTCTGAAACACTGCAGAGGAAAAGCTGGGGCTGCCAAGGCTAAATATACAGCAACAATGCTCCACTTGGACTGTAATTAACTGCTTGTATAAGGCGCAATCATGAAGAGGAGCAGAGGATGCAGAGGATGAAGAGGAGAGGGTAAGGTGGAGCAGAGGAGCAGAGGATGCAGAGGAGAGTGTAAGGTGGAGCAGTGGAGCAGAGAACGAAGAGGAGAGAGTAAGGTGGAGAAGAGGATTAGGATTAGTTAGATCAGATTGTTGAAATGTCATGTCACAGTTCCATCTGATATTAACAATCTGATTTCTTTATGATTGTTCAAACCTGTGCAGACAAGAAAATTGTGTAAAAAGATCTGATGTGGTAAAGACAAAAATGAGAGAGAGAAAATGTTAAAGATTGACTATTTTAAAATTCATTGTACCTTGTCTTATAGATACAACAGTTGTTGTTACACGTGTCACCAAGTGTTTTAGATGATCAGATTTCTCTTGTGCATGAACTTAGACTTACTTAGACTTACAGGCAATGATTGAAACAATATTTTAATACTTTTTTGGTCAAAGCTTCGTAAACTGCAGTTAATAGCACGATGCAGAGGTGGGACCATGTCGTTGGTTTGCAAGTCTCAAGTAAGTCTCAAGTCTTTGACCTTCAAGTCTGAGTCAAGCCCCAAGTCAAAGACAGACAAGTCCAAGTCAAGTCTCGAGTCATTGGCCCATGAGTCCAAGCCAAGTCCAAGTTGCCTCTTTTGAGCTTCAAGTCATTAAACCAAAGTTCCAAATAGAGCTTAGATTTTTGCAATTTATGACTTTTAAACTAAATTGTATTTAAAAAGTCTTGGTATATTTATAAATTAGTTTGAGAAGAGTTGTAGAAATGCATTTTTTTTTCTTTTTAAATGTCTTGACAAGATCTTACTGTGAATCATTACAGTCAGAATAGAAAGACTTCACATTTAAAAGTGCTTAATCAGTTATTTTGTCATGTATCTGCACTTAAATGGGAGGATCATGTTCTATGTATGTAGTTGTACTGTATTGTACTGTACATTACATTACTGTAGTACATTTGAGGATACCACATCACAGTACTTCAGTTCCATCCAAAGTAACAGAGAAGTGGAGGGACATGGTTCAGTTTGTTTCTGTAAAACTAAGCACAGCATGTATCAAGTCTAAAGAGAAAAGGATTTTCTAAAAAACATATTTTTAGAAGACGCATCGAGTCTTCTCAAGTCATTGACCTTCAAGTCCAAGTCAAGTTCCAAGTCCTAAAAAATAGTGACTCAAGTCACGACTTGCAGGTCTCCAGCTCTGGCTCGATGCTTAAGCGCATACCGTGGAAATAAGATGTTTCTTACCATTTTACAGCCACATGTGATTGTTTTAGCAGGTTCTACAAGCTGCGGCTGATTGGTTACTGTCTTGGCACCAGATTTCACGCTTGTTTGTGATTGGCTGTTCGGGTAAAAGCCTTGACACGTCACTGGAAAGCGCCGAGCTCCAGTTTGGGAAGTGTGGGAAGCTGCAGCTGTGGATGGCGAATAAACAAAACCACGTGGAGGATTTCTCGAAGTCCGATTAAGTCACAGGTAAGAGCACGCGTCTGAATCAAGGTTTTCATGTAGATAAAATGAAAGGAAGTCGTTTGTAATCAGAAATATGTGAGGATTATGGGCGGAAATGCTAACTTATTAGCCACACACCAGGCTAGCATCCCACTTCAGTTCTGCTATATATATATTCTAAAATGTAAATGATTTTCTTATTTATTTTTATTTTACATTATTATAAATTATAGGCTCTGCTATGCTCATAATTTGCCCGTATTATTGTCGTAAATGAATAGATGAGGAGGACGTTAGCGCCACAGGGAGCACGCCCACTTTGCATTTTGTTCATAGATGTTGTAAAAGCTAAAAAACGTTCAATTAAAGATTGACTGCTTTATCTTAAGTTTTCTCAGACATTACAGTTGAGCTCGTCCACACATATATACATTTACTTTATTTGAGTTTCAAATTGGCAGGGAAACACATATTTCCTCATGTGTTGTGTGTTATAGTGTAGTAGTTACAATTATGTTACAATTAGTTACAATTACAATCTTGATATTCACATGAAAACCAGCAGCTTTTACATTTTAAAAGTATTTTCTTAAATAATAAGCCATTAATAAAAGAAATTTGCTAGATAATAACCCATTTATTATAGTGAACTTTTAATCATTCATAGATTCATGGTAGAATTAGCTGTTTATTTGTCATTCCTGTCATGGTTTACGGTTCATATCTCCATAATCACTGACCCTATCCACATGAAACAAAACTGAAACAAGGTTCACTGTCTTCTCATGTCATCAGATTTCTTTAAAGCAGCTTAAAAAATGTGATCGTGTTCCAAGCATCAATGCCCGTTTTTTCATTATGCCAGGCCATGGACCCATTCACAAAAATTCATTAAGGTCAAACATTTAAGAACTAGCTGAAGGATGGTTCCTCCTTGTATCTGTCAGTTTTGGTCCTTATGTTGGTGCAGATGGATGAGCTGGATGCCCTGCAGCAGAGGTGTCTCCTGAATCTCAGACAGAGGATCCGTGATGTAGAAGCGGCACGTCAACAGGAAGTCTGCACCAGGCTCCTCAAGGACGGAGACACACTCAGGTAGAGCCGGGCGTATAATAACAATGAGGACTTTTTTTTGTGTGTTCTTATTTTTTATTAGAATTTTTTCATCCTGTGGCCTTTTCTGCTTTTGTTCATCAACATAATGTTACAATTTTACATTTCTTTATTATGTTTTTGTGAGAAGATTAATATTATACAGTTGTCAAGAGTTTATTTACTTGGAATGGGACAGGATCTGATGCCACAAGATCTCGCGAGATTGAATACATTTTTAAACTTTGAGTTACACTCTTTGAAAAGCTATAGTTCCAAAAAGCATTCCAAAAATATGAAATAAAATGCGAGGCCAAAATTGTGAACTGAATCGCTCGTCCAACCCCTAACTGACATCAAATATAAACACAGTTGTGCTGTATTTTACACAATACACAATAATACAGTGGATTGTGGACTGTTACATTATATTGAAATACTAGCTGTCTGAATGCTTTCCATTATTGCATCATCAGCACATAAAAAAGTAGAGACAACTTTTAGTTTTTAGTTTACAACTAAAACTAAACAACAACAACAACTAAACATTTTGTAAACACATATTACCATCAGATTTAAACATTCAAACTATTCAAATTATGCGTTTATCAAATCATTTTTTCCCCTGCATTCTTTGCCTTTGAGGCTGATCCTACCATTGTATTCTCTGTTTCCTAGCCTTAGAAGCTTTTAAATGATAATTTTTTTCTTGTGTACATTTATAATATAAAACATTTTTCTTTCCAGTTACCACGGAAACTCTGAAGAGGTCGGTTGCTACGTGGCTGGTATCCCTTTATCAAAAGGGAATTGCTATTTTGAGGTGAGAATGTTAATGTGTTGACAGATACAGAAATTTGACTATTGGCACTACTGGCATTGATTAAACATCTGTAATTATTCCAAAGAAATGTATTTAGTCTTTTACTCTAAATACTTTGTTTTCTGTACAGAAAATGAAGAAGACATATTCGTTTTTATCAATCAATATGAGGAAAACAAAAGTGATATTTTTTTTGCCATATCCTCGCCCAGACCTAGTGTACTAGGCAATTTTTCTAGTGGAGGCTTTGTCACTTGTTTGCCTTTTGAGATAGTGTTGCTTTAAAATGTTATAAACAGTAGTTTTTGCAGGTGTAGTCTTGTGGGTGTAGTTTGGGTCAGATACAAAGAGACGGACTGTTCAGTATCTGTGTATCTGACTTTTGCCACGGTCCCTTTTTAGTCAATTAATCGATCGGCAGAACATATCTTTAGTCCACCAAGAGTTTATTTAGTTGACCACACACCTAATACTGTGTAACATTTCCAACAAAGTAGTAACGTCTCCATGGAGACAAGCAGGTTGCGGACTCCTGGCCTGAAAAGGTGCATAGTGCCACTTTAAATAAACTACACCCTTTTTAGAAAAACTTCACAGTTAGATATTGATACTATAAAGTAACATTATGCTGGGGGTGTTCTATATGTATGTCTATGGTCAAATGTTCAGGAGTTGCCGTGCCGTGACACAATGCATACATTAGCAAACGCCGTCAAAAAAGTTTTAAGATTGTCTGAAAAAATACCAAATGGATTTAAACAGCACATTTAGAGGAGCCTGTGATCAGATCGAGCGTTCATGGTTTTGTTTAGGAGTTTGATTTTCAACTAAATGGTGAGAGACTCACTGAAAAACTGTTGGCTAATGCTAGCTAGCTTGTGACTGTCATTTTATGTGTGAGAGACTTATTTAACAGCCCAAATCAGCTCACCTTAGTTCCAACTAAGTCAGCTCTCTCTGGTCAGATTGTGTTGAAACAAAGGTCAGAATACAGTCTAACAAGCCTTAGCCAGAGCAGTGCCTACAGTTAGCGTCACACCTCTAGGGAATGTTGATGACATCAGCTGCGATGTATCAAGAGCTCCAGTATAGAATAGTTCCGCCCTATCCTCCACTCACCCTGACATGGCGGTGCTTACGCAGCCCTGATCTGTTTCACATTTGTCTTTTAAAATCACCTCTGCACATTCTGATCTGACATTTTAAAGAGCGGCCCTGTGTGATCCGAATCATAGGTTTTATGTTTTCTGGTGACGCACGGAAGCTGTCATCGTCTGACGTACCTCTAAAAAGTTTGGAGTTTTTGTGGCTGCAAAGGTCAGACTGGAGTGTACACATGCGTCACTGCATCGCCTCTTTCTCCTCCTAAAGAATCTGCTTCACTTTCAATGCATTTCACTCAGGTTTTAATTATCTGAGCCAGATATTTGCTAGAGCTGTCAAAAGTATTGAAAATCAGATTCTAATTGGTTCTAAAACTAATATTGAAATATGATACTCATTTGAACAAGTATCAATATTTAAAAAGTCACATTCACAAGACAGAAATGAACCTTTCCTGAATAGTTTAAGAATGATGTTGAGCTGTATCAGAACAAGTATAAGAGCACATAGACTAGTAGTATACCGCCATTAATGTTGGAAATCACAATCTGTTGTTTAAAAAAAGAGTGGCAAAGGAGAAATTCAAGGTCGAAAATGTTTCTCAGCTCATCCCAGCTGCTTCTTCAGTTGTGGTCAGACACTGGTGGACACTGCCTTATATCTGCCTGAAGGAGGAACTAACTACACTGAAACTACTCTGAAAATAACACCTACTTGTTTACACTTTCTGTATGTTGGCTAGGCTTCTTCATCTGTATCTGAGTGTGGGGACATATTAGTAGAACAAAAATAGCTTCTTTAACTCCCCTCTCAAAGATCTGTACCTCATTGTCCTCAAAGGAGTGGCCCTAGGCTTTTAGATGAAGATGTACGGCAGACTGATGTCCTTTTGAATGCGTATATTGCCCTACGCGAGCGTAAAAACTGCAACTATTGGACGCGTAACTTTTAGAATGCATGGAAAGTGCTAGATGTGCGTATGGAGCAGAGCGTCCTGCGCGCGTAGATTTCAGAAAATAGGATCCATCCTATTTTTTGACGCTCTATGCGAGTGTAGGCGCGTATCCCAGACAAAACACACAGAGAGCATGAATCTTTGGTTGTATTTGTGCATTTACCATCAGCACCTGAGGCAGATCTGTGTCGTGTGAAAGAGCCCAGGTCCAGAAATACTGTTAATTAGTGTTTTAAAATTTACTTCTGATCACCGTGTACAGAAGGTAAATACAAGTCTGTTCAGCTGTTAGTTTCACTGTGGACGTGATACAAGTGGCTAAATGCGCCCAGTCAAGTTTGATCGTCTTTACATTGACAAACACAGAGTCAGTGCTGTGCGTGTACGTCCTGCTGCAGCTGCCGGTGGAGCCGCCTTTGTGTTGACGCGTGGCTGTGGTTTTCGTGAGATAACGCGCGTAATTAAACACTGATGTGTGCAGTGGAGCCAGGCCCTAACAACACTGGTGCCTCCTCCATCTCCGAGCGGCCCTCTTTTCTCCTACTTGCCATTTGTACACGTGACACACAGCACCCACCCTCCACACCTCTTCTTTTGCGCCAAAGAGAAACAGGTCACATACAGACACGAGGCTACAATGCACAAGCCGGGAACCATGGAAACCGTATGGTACGCACACATCCCGAACCTTGACAAGCGAACCGAACGGTTCTTTTTTTTTCATGAACTGTGCCACCCCTAGTCAGAACTCTATGGTGGAATTTGCTGTTTAATTGGCAGATTGCAGATTGCAGTGCTGGCTTCAGACGGGGGCGAGTAAGACCCCTTGAGCTGTGGACGGGGTCTGAATGGTTCTGTGCCATCCGCTGCGAGTTGGATTTGTGTGGGGAAAGTGAGAATGTGCAGCGGAATATAGGTCCGGGTGGGTTGCTCCTTTCCTCCGTGCTCAATGACTGCGGCTGATTCTGAGGTGGTGGAAAGCATCCAGTCAGAAGCGCGAATCTGTTCTGGTTTGTTATATTGTTCTGAGCAGTCTGTCTTCCGTGCACTTGGTTCTTCCCAGGGAAAGAGCTTCTCAGGCTGAGGCATCTAACACCGCTCCCCGCTCCAGCTCATCTGAGCCCAGCCTGAACCAGAGCTGCTTCCCACTGGTTCAGGAGTCTGGGTTTGGATCTAGTCCAACGGTAGCATTTCTCACAAATGCAGGTCATTTTATAAGTTGAACCAATTAAATAGGCTAGAGCCTATTGCCATAAAATTATTAGGCTAGTTAATAGCCTTAATAACAAATGTTGGTTGCTATGGGAACATGGGAAACACCGGGACCTCTCTAAACATGCACGTTCCAATGTTTCCCAGTACCGTTGTTCCCCAGTTGTTTGTTGTGTGTAACAGTGGCACTGGGGAACACCGGGAACACAGGACCTTTTTTAAACACGAGGTACAGCTTTTCCCTGGTGCAGTTGTTTCCCCCCACCCATACACACTGGGGCCCATACACACTGGGGCCCATACACACTGGGGAACAGCAGTACTGGGGAACACCGGTATGCACCCACAGTAATGCTAACAACAACTAGCATGCTAACAGGCATAGCACTTCTTGATACTTGGACAGTTAAATTCTTTCTAATTAAATATAGACAGTACACAGCAGACTTATTTTGACCTCAAGAGCTGCTTATACAGTACATCTGTACTGGCCAAGAAAAAATGTGCTCAAATAAATGGGAAAAAACAGGTACAGGGCCTTAAGTTTTCTTTGAAAATTCTAGTTACTTTCAAATGTTTATAATTGTTTATTCTTGTTTTGGGCATTTAAAAAAAAAAAAAATTAGAGTTAATTGTGTTGTCTTGTCTTTATGTTAAAATATGTTACCCCCGTCCCACATCTCTCCCATGGGAGACAGTAAAGGATTGTCTTACCTTCTTTGTGTGCGTTTGTGTGTGTGCGTGTGCATGCGTGCGTGTGTGTGCAGGTTACTATAGTGGACACTGGAGTGCGAGGGACCATCGCTGTGGGTTTGGTGCCTAAGTTCTATCGTGTGGACCATCAGCCCGGTTGGCTCCCAAACTCTGTGGCGTATCACGCCGACAACGGCAAGTGAGTACAACAAGCACCCCCTCTGTCTCATGTTACAAATGAGGATTTCAGTTTAGCATTACCTGGATCTCACAATGTCAAGCTCGTACCAGCCTGAGTGGCTAACACTCATGCTTCACAGCAGACAGGTTCCGGGTTCTATTCCTGGTGTTTGCATGTTCTCCCTGTGTCTGTGTGGGTTTTTTCTGGGCATTCCTGTTTCCCCCACCAACTCAAAACATGTACCATAGGTCAAATCCTGCAGCTAAGGTAAACCTGACCAAGAACAAGCTCAAGGTCTGGAGATGGGTCCCCAAGATCTGCTCACTGCTTCTGAGGAGAGGTCCCAGAGACACTGAAGGATGGGTCAAATGCAGAGGACACATTTTCCTATGAGGACAATAAAGTGTACTTCATCTTAATACTTAATTCTGTAGTGTCACATTTGTATATTGCATTTCTATAGGTTAATTTCAATGTGTTTTGTGGAGCTCCAAGTCAGTGTTCTCTTGCAGAACTTCACAAAAATATGAAGCAGGGAGACAACCTAGTTTATGATCACCTTTTGAATGTTTTGGACATAAAAAATAACTTGATGTAATCTCTGGTGTGATTGTAGGTTGTACAATGGAAATCCTGTAGGACAGCAGTTTGGTCCTAAGTGTTCTCGAGGAGATCGGATTGGCTGTGGAATTCACTTTGACAATATTGAAACCAGCATCGCAAACGTCTTTTTTACTAAGAATGGAAAAGAGGTAAGTCTTTCCAACAAAGCTGATGTTGAACTTCGAGTCAGCTTTTATTTCAGGCAGAGAGGCCCATTAACTAGAGAGATATTAACCATAAACCTGGACAATACATCTGTATTAGGTCAAACACAGAAAAGGTTCTTGAAAGATTATCAGCATAATAATGATGATAATAATGCATTTGCTTTTTGGACACTCTAAGACACTTCATAATGTAGTATTCATTCTCTCTACACCTGGTGGTAAGACACAGCCACAGCTGCCTTGGGACAGACTGACACAAATGATCAGTGCCATTGGCCTCTGACCACCACCAACACTCACGTACCACATTCATACTAGGTAATGTTGATCAAGTGTCTTGCCTAAAGACACAATGATTGCAAGTGCCACTGTTACACCTGTTCACAGAGGTCAAGTACTAACCAGGAGCTGCCCTGTTTAGCTTCTGATCGAGTACTGACAAGATTGCATGGGCACAAATACATGTTTTTTTGAAACAGACCAGCACAATGGTTGCTCATACCTTGACAGAGGTTAGAGGCCTCCTGCATCGTCATTCTTTAATCATTTTAAAATGTGCACTATGGAAGGAATCTTGATTTGAAACCATATTTTGTTAATCTAAATACACTTGCACAACTTCTTATAAAAATCTGTGGATTTATTTCCAAAATCAAGTTGCCCTATTCTATTAGAAATGAAATTGTTATTTGAATGGGTCGTCCCTTGAAAACCTATGGATAGACAAATCACATAAATTCTACTGATAAGTCCTGCAGGGTGAATGCCTGAATGCCCTTCTCGTCTGTCTCAGGTGGGATCGGTGGAGGTAGGGGTCAGTGCAGAGGGCCTGTTCCCCGCTGTAGGGATGCACTCTCTGGGGGAGGAGGTGAGGGTTCACCTGGGAGCACAGTGGAGCCTGGAGGAAGATGAAAGCGCCATGATGGTGGACAGCCACGAGGACGAGTGGGGACGATTGTACGACGTCAGAGCCAGTGGGATGGTGAGAGGGATGGGGGGGGTTATTAAAGCAGACCTATTCTGTAAAATGGACTTTTCAAACTTTTTCAGACTTTTATGTTAGATTTGTTTCTCGTCACGATTTACCCACCTGAAATTTTATTCAGAGTCATTCGTGCATGTTTGACCAATCTTTGCCAATCAGCCACTGTTTTTACAGCCACCGGTATACGCCTATTGTGACGTACTTTTTTCATCTTCCAGTTTTGGAAAAAATGTGCTGTTGGCTAGTGTGATGTGCAGTAGGAGGGGATCACAGCTACATGGCTCTTTGTTGTGATGATGTTTGTGTCAGCGTCAGATGTTTTAGGTAATTTTTACCATTGAAAATGTGCAATTTAAAATGGACAAATTCATTAAAAAGAAACATAATGATCCATGGGAGTTGTGGATTATAACTGTATAGCAGACCCGAAAGCACAACATGTCTGCTCTAATCTACCTGCTGTTTCGCTTGAGATTTTCTTGAAATGTAAAGTTCAATATGAATAACATGTATTATTATGAATCTTTAATCAGGCCTTTTTTGATTGGTACGGGCAATAATGAATTGAATAAGTAACATTCAAATACGGATTCCCCTAAATGTAAACATGTGGGGAACCTGCCTGTATTTAGTCCGGTGTGTTCTTTGTACCAGCCTCACGGTGGTCTCACTTAATCTCTATGAAAGCTGCTTTATTCATTGTATTCTTTTCCTTCAACTTAAACCTGTCTGAGTTTTTACAAGTGCTTAATTTGAATATTCTAACGTCCAAACTAAACGTCTCTGGGTTAGAACGCTTTAGGATGGTGGAAACATTGGCCCATAACTTTTACATGTGATGGATAGTTCCATTGTAAAGCTTCCCACACTGCAAAACATCTGCATGAGATACAACCAGTTCAGAATACTTCTCTTAATTTGACTAGGTTAAAAATGTCCACAACCTGTGTGTCTGCATGGAGATGTGTTCCACAATGTAGCATTAAACAAATCTCACACATTCTTCTAGTGCTGGCGATATGGCCACATGATCGTCAAGTGAAGTCAGAGCAGGGACCGCTCGTCTTTCAGTCGTACAATTTTGTTTATTTAGTTTCTTTTACAGGGACAATGTACCGGATTTTCATTCACAGATCAGATTATTTAAGAGTTTGTAAAGTGTATTCAATTACCTTTGCCCAACCCGAACTTATTCTATTACAAGTTTTTTATTACTCAAAAATAACATGCTTTCTTGTTGTGAATGGGGTGGCCTGTTCACGGATCTGACCTGTAACTTACCCTGGTGGTTTCACCTGCTCGTCTCCATGAGAATCTGTGGAAAAGCATATATATATTTACATATGTACATATATATTTTACAATGAACACTTCATTAATAAATATGTAAGTTTAAAGTCATACTATGTAACCTTGCAGGCAAAGCAATAACATCTCCATGGAGACACACAGGTGCCAGAAAAGTTACATAATGCCTTTAACTGATAGTGCATTACCTAATGTAGTCTCCACGGATCATGACCCGTACGTGTTTGGTGTTGCTGTTGCTATGTGCCTGATAATTACCTGATCACAGCATTTGTGTAAAGGTGTGCAGAGACGGAGCCGGTCAGACATGAATGACTTTTGAAGAGCTCCGCTCAAGTGTAAAACCACAGTGCGCTAACACTAGTGCACTGATGCTAGCAGCTCATCATTGGCTAATGTTTCATCTGTTTACGTTGGCTAAAGGGACAAGTGTGTTTGGATAGACTGACTTCTGTCGGGATTATAGAGTTGTTAAGTGGTGATGTCACTTCCGGGTCCAACCAGAAACTTCACAGCTGATTTCAAGCTTTGTTTTTGTTCCTTATTCATCAAATAAGACATAGTAACCTTTCAAAAGTGTATGTTTAACCACAAATTGTATCAAAAAGGCCTATGTAAATATTGTAGTAATAATCTATCATAACATAGGATTACCAGTGTGTATGTTTCACTAACTCATAGATTGTTATCTTAAATTGAACTAGTGGCCACTTGTTGTTATTGCAGTGAAAAAATCCCTCCTGCCTGAAAAGTGTTTTTCCTCACAGAGTGCAAATGTAATCACAGACTGCTGCTGCTCGAAAGGTTGGATTTTTTGGTGTTTTCTTGTAGGTCATAAACTTTTTCTCGGCTCAAAATCCTTCTGTTGTCAGTCTGAAAATCTGCGTTTTTAATTGTTAGCTTCACCTCTGCTGTAGTGCAGAGTGCAGACCCGTCCTATTGATGGGCCAAATGTGTGGCCTATGTCGAGCTGTGTCACTGTGTATGACTTTAAGAAGTGTCATGTGACTGATACATCTGCTGTGTCATGTGGTGTGGCTTGTATTGGGAGCCATATTTAGGCCCTAGGGCTTGCACTAACTACTGGCCACCGCAAACTTAGCCTAGCCAAGCTCCCTCGTACACTTTCTGTCCCAGTTATAACCATAAATCCAGGCTTTGTTAGCTTTACACTTGCACCTCTTAACTTGACTGTGGCCACTTTGTTTTACTGCACAAACATCGGTGGCAGGACAGTAGGACACTGTCAGTGACGTTGATTAGTTGCGTAAATATGTGTGTGAAACATCATTGTCTGACCAGCAGTGTTTGGCAAGAAAGGAATTAATTATAGTTACCTGTTACTTTTCCCCAAAGTAACTGTGATAATTCCTGGGTGATGAAAGTAATAAATGATCAGATACTTTAACTATTAAATTCCAAAAGTTCCTTAAAAATACATCCCAACTTATTTAGTCTGCATTGTCCTCCACAGAGCTCCAAACACCAACACCAGCTCACAGACAGATGTCCCCTTTACACAGCAGACTGTGTCCAAACACACTCATATCAGAACATTACAAACATGTGCACACCACATGACGGCGCTTACGCACGTGTAAGACCAGAACCGCCAAACAGATATTAGATGAGCTGCTTTTACGATAAGGAGCGTGAGCACAGCACTGCGCTGACGTCTTTTTAGTGATCTGCAAACTCCAAACGCATGTGTCCCTCTCTCTGGAAGCGTCTGTGCTTCCATCACAAAAGAGTTGCCAAATGACGACGTATCTCCATAAAATCCACAAGAATCTACAAGTATTTGAACACGTACAAACGCTAAACCAGTGAAATGTCAGGAAAGTTTTTTACAGCCATCTAACATTGCTTCTGATGACTTTGACTTTACAGTCAGTCTCTTTTTAGCGAATCACTGTCTGTAATCTCTTGTTTCAGTCTTGTTCAGGCTTCTTCCCAAATCAAAGGAAAAATAAATAAAGAAAGAGTAATTAGTTAGATTACTTGTAACTGGTAAAAGTAACACTACTGATCAGTCACCTGTCACTCACTAGGTCATATCATAAAATGGTAAGGAATCAGTTGTTCTGTTTTTTTGTTTTTGTTTTTTTTTAAAAATTCAATTCAGGTAGTATTTTTATTTTGTGTTGTGTGTTTTATTTTGTGTTGTGTGTAGGAGCCTTGCATGCACGCACAGTTTACAGGGAACATTTTCCACTGCCACCAACATATGCCCACTGTGACATACTTAATTTATTTTCCAATTTTATTTTCTTAATCTGTGATATGTGCAGGATTCGGCAGTGTTGTGTAGTCATTTTTGTACAATAAAACAGCTGCTCGTGAGGGCGATCTGCAGTTATCCATAAGAGGGGTCGACATTTATACTGACGTCAGCTCTCATTGGACACCACCGTTTTCTAACATGGAAGTCAGTGGACAGTTTCTTTTTAAGATGTCGTTTTAGATCAACAGAATGATCCATGGATATCAGGTTATAACTATGAGCACACACGAGCACAAGAAGTACTCTTTAACTAAAGCCTGGTTGTTTGCGATACTGGAGATACTTTTCTTGTTATTCATTACCTAGAACTGCCCAATCAAAGGCTGTTCATTTATGCATGAACTGCAGAGTTGTGAAAACATATAAATGAGTGTTGAAACTAGTTCTTTGCACTTTCTGTGAGCAAGTTCTTCGACGACAAGTTTGACAAATAAGACACTACGTCATGTCAGACAAATATTGATTCAAGCTTCTTGGGTCAAGAGGTTTCTGTTGTAGTTTGTCATTGTTGATTTAAGATGTGTTCACATTTTGCCCCTTTAGTTACGTCACAGATAAAACTCCAGACTTCTCCTATGCATTTTATAAGCCCATACTCTCAATTGTGTTGGTTATTGTGCTCAGAGAGGATGATGGATTCTGTTCCCTGTGTGACTGTGATGTAGACAGTCTCTCTCTCTCTTTCTCTGTGTGTGTCTCTCTCTCTCTCTCTCTGTGCGTACGTGCGACTCAAAGCGAATACTCTGCCTCCTCCTCACTCACACACACATACATGTGAATCAGCCCTTTCACTGTATTGTACTGATAATGACTCGGATTAATATTGCATTCATTCATCCAATAGTGGTTTTCAAAAATGACAAATGACAAAGCTGCACTTGTACACTAAGTTATTCCATCTCATTCTGTTCACATACTGTTTATCTAGTCCCCTCATGTCCATGTCAGGGCCACGAGCTGTTAGATTATGGACTGGCCAAAATGGGGATAGATGGTGGAGCTTGGAGTAGAGCTGCTGCTCTCTTAGTGGAGAGGAGCAGCTGAGGCATCTGTTCCAGATGCTCTATGGACACATGTCCCACTGGGATGATGGAGGGATTATACTCTTTCAGCTACTCAAGAGTGTCACATACAAGAATACAAACCCCATTTCCATATTAAGGAATAAGCTCAATACTCAATACCATTTTTGATACCCCAATGAATAATAATTCAAACTAATCTCTTTTTAGATATTTGACATTTTCAACACAAAATTCTAAAATGATTCAGCAAAGGTCAAATTGAGTTTTTGTATCGATACCTGTTCAACTAGTTTTAGGCCGTATACATAGCGCCTTGATGTGGTTTTGTGTGTATGTCCCAGTAAGGCCTTAAGGTCCCCTCAGAGGAGCTGGAGAAAACA